GTTTTTAAAAAGTAATTTTAATGGGAACACAGCAATCAATATTTGGCTTTTAATTAGGTTTTAGTGGGGTTATTTTGTGTATTTTTGTATGATTTTTTTTTTGTATCCTGTATATTGTATTTGTGTTTTTAATATGCTGTGAACCGCCCTGAGTCCTACGGGAGAAGGGCGGTATACAAATTAAATTAACCATTAACCATTAACCATTAACAACTCCAGTCACAGATATTTCCCAAGACCATGCAAACTCTTACCCAGTGGTCCCCAAGGTTCCCCTTCATGTTTTCCTTCACCCATCCGTTGTGAATCAGAACTCAAGCTTATTTCTGTGGAAAGTTGATCTGTGCTCATGAAGCTATGCCTGGGAAAAAGAAGAAAGAATTAGGAGACATTTCTGAACTAGTTCCCAGAACATGTACATTTCCAGTGTGGTATTCTGATGATAACTGTTGAAATCTGCCAGCTCCTCTGTCCTACTTAGCTTCATTTAAAAAAAAATCTAATTATAAAAAATGGATGCTATAAAACAACACATCAATCTCAAAATACAATATATTTTTCCATCTAGGCTCTACATAGGCCCAGAGGCATTTCTAAATGATAGAAATAGTGAATGGCTACAAACCATTACTTTGTTTGAAAGTAACCATATGTCCAGGGGAAAAAAAGGAAGATAAACGTCAGAAGGCATCCTGGAAGCATCTTCACTTTGATTTATTTTTTTTTAGTAGGTGGTTTATAATTAACCTTGGTCATGCCCATCACATGAACCACGTTTAAAGTGCTCATATGGTAATTTGGTTTCATAATTCCAAAGGTACCCCTGGGAAGACTTGATATAGAAAGACTTGAGCAGGCTGCCAGAAAAATATCCCATGACTATATAATTCTGATGTGTAGAGGAGGCACATCTTAAAAACAAGGAAACTACTGAAGTCAGATAGACTGTTTTTCAGGCAGACTTTCAGTGACATTTTTAGCCACAATACAACTATGGTTTGTAATTGTCCACCTCTGGCATGTTTTATTTTTGTCCCATTTAGTATATAATCTGGGATTTACAGATTATTTCCATCCAAATATTAATGTAGCTCAAATTTATTTTGCTTTTTTATTTTTAATTCAGGCCCAGATGCTTTGGATAATCCTTGAATATTGTTCTCCATTGATTCTCTTCTTTTTGTTCTTGAAATCACCCTTCTTTTGCTCAGCCAATTCTAATACTGAATGATTACAAAATTTTGTCAATGTGGAATAATTCATACTAATGTGCCAATATGGTCAAGACAGCTAACAAGCTTGGTGCTTTTGTAGCATCTGTAAACAGTGTATAGGAACTTTTGTGCCTATTTCTTCATGTGGCAGGACTGCCAAAACAAACCAGTTTCCATGGATAAAAGATAATAAAGAGATGTTCTTTATGGTGGTGTTCTTAATACTTTTCCAAGAACATCAAAGTTTGATGCTTTCATTCTGAAAAAGAATCAATTTTCTGCTTTTGTTTAAAAACAGAATGGCTATTTTAGCAAGATGAACCCAGAAAAAAGTTAGAAGAGATTTATTATGGTTCAATTATGTTGATTTAGACTGAGCAAATAGAGAATTAGATGTGGAACAAAGATAGGCAATATTTTAGTGGAAAGATGCTACGCTAGTTGTGGGGGCATATGATAAGCAAGTCAGGGATAAAAATGGAAACTGTGGAAAAGATTAAATTATTTTCCATGAATTTTAAATTTACTGAAATGTGTAAAACTTATGCTATATTTTTCTTGCCTTGGAATGGAGGAAACATGCATCACCGATTTCCAGCAAATATGTCGAGGCTACAAGAGATCTTAGAGAAAAAGGTACATCTTTTAGACACACACTGACCTCCTGAATATCTTGGCTTCTGCATGATTTTCATTACCGTTCAGAATCCCCAAAGACGGCCATTGGTTCACCAAGGGTGCAGCCATATCCTTGGAGAGCTGGGTAAACTGGCTGTTGTCTGAAGGAATGAGGCCCGTCCTGAGGGCAGAGCAGGAGGAGGGAAATCTGATCAAGGAGGAGGGAATGCAACCTGTCAGCTTAAGGCAAGGAACCAAAGAACAGCACGGTGTCCATCCTCCCACGTGACACAGGATCCAGCTTTAACAAACCTAGACCCCGTCTCATAGGACAAAGGGAAAATTGATTCCATTTGGGCCTGCTTATTACTGGCAAGGAGAGTATGCAGGGTTGTATCCTACTTACAGCTGCTCTTGCAGTTCCAGGATGATCCCTTCCAACTCCCGTTTCTCTAACTGATTCTGCACCTTCACCTCTTCCAGCCTTAACTTCAGGCGTTTGTTTTCTGCCTCCAGATCCTTGAGTTGTGACTCTCTCAACCGAACTAGCTCTTCTAGATAGCCCTGGGAGACAGCAAATGAGGGGGGAAGGGAGAAAAATTAATTCCTATGCAGTAGTACAATGAAATTGGCATAAAATTATTGGATTTTTGGAGTAAACTCTGCAAAAACAGCCAGCAAGCAAGAATTAAAAAATAACTATTGTCCATGATCTGCTAATCTCCTTTTTAGACTACTGATTTAATAACCTTCAAAAGTTGTATCAGGCCTGAAATCTCTAGCATATCATAACTAGTACCAATAAACCAACAGGTGGCTAAAAGTCTTAATAAGTATAAGTAAGTCTTTAGAAAGCAGATTAAGCCAAAATATTGCACCAAAAGATGTTTTCTATACCAGGCAATCCTTGAAAAGGGTATTTCAAAGCTGAGGTGACCACAATGCAGAAGACGTGTTCCCAGTTCCCAGTTGTGTTTTTGACAAAGGGAAGCATAAAGAAGGACTTCTGAGGGATTTCTTTAGCATGTAATCCAAAGTCGTGTGGCTTTAGGACATAGCAGCAGGAGCTGTGAAATGATTTAAAGCCTGGCAAAAAGTATTTTGTGGAGTTAATTATAATCAATAGTTTAGAACAGCCTTCCATAACAGTCACTTGTGCCTTAGTCACCTCCCGTCTTGACTATTGCAATGCCCTCTACATGGGGCTGTCCCTGAAGAGCATCCGGAAGCTTCAGTTGGTACAAAATGCAGCAGCCCACATGTTTTTGTACAGTGTGCACATGTGACACCTCTCCTGCAGGAGCTGCATTGGTTGTCCATTTGCTTCCTGGTGCAATTCAAGGTGCTGATTGTCATATCTACCCAATGCACTAGAACGGGGAGGCAAGGAATGTTGCGGCTCTTTTCCTTGGTGGCTCCCTCTCTCTGGAACATCATTCCCTCAGAGATTAGACTGGCCTCCACTTCAGCACTCTTCCGGAAGGCGCTGAAGTCCTGGGGAACCCAGAGCACGATAGACCCCAGCAAATAGCTAGTTTAATGTGTGCTGTCGCTGGGGTGGGGAAGGTGGGGGTTTATTATTTTATTTTTCCTCTTGTTATTTTATTTTTTTGTAAGGTGTTTTATATTGATGTAAGTCACCATGAGTTGCCATGTGTGAGTAGGCGGCGATACAAATTTTCAAAATAAATAAATAAATAACCTGTTGTTCCTTGGATGTATTCCTTGAGAGGAGGAGGAGGAGGGGGAGGAGGAGGAGGAGGAGGAAACCAAACATATATTAAGAATTGTCTCTTTGGTAAGGTAAATATACAATTCAATATAATTAACTCCTGAATTGGTAACAGATTCTGAACAGATGCTATCTTAGCCTATTGCTAACTTTCCTGTAATCTGATAATCTTCAATCATATTGGGCTACAATTTTTACTGTCACCAAACACTGCCTGTCATCCAATATACTTGAAGTCACCAATTTAGAGGAAAAACCCTGAATCTGACTTTTCTCAATGGGAAGTTTCTTCCCCAATACAAATAATATCTTAAGAGCAAAGATTTTCCTTGTGCTGCACTCATGTAGAAATCCCTCTCCATGCCTTTCCCATGGAAGTTTTATTTAGACCTATTAAATTCCCAGCTCCTCCTGGAAAATCAATCTTTGTTGTTTTTTTTCCTAATTTCAAAAACAGCTGATTTTAGACGTTCTGTGGAGCACAGGAGGGGCTCCTTTATCTCAGTTTTCTCTCTCTCTTAGGTTGGAGCACTATTTCTAAATCTCACTCCAATCTCAGATGTGCAACTGTGAACATTTCCACGCCTTTTGAGACATCTTGCTTTTATGACAGGTGTAGGTTTGGCCCTCAGGGTCTTATGCTCACGCTTGAACTCCAGGTACCTTTTGTGCATAGACGATGCGAAACTTCTGCTCTATCTTGCGCCATTTAATGTACCAGCTGTCTTCTGCAGTCACTAAGGGTAGGTACGGATGGTCAGGAGAGCTCTCTTCACTGGTACTGCTCTCCAGGCTGTGCCGCTCCTCTTCATCACTTAGGTAATCATAACTAGAGAGATTGAAGTTTACTGCAAAAAAGTGACTGAAATGGGATGCATAATTGCATGCTAGAGTCTTCCATTTCAAGTTTACAAACAGCAGCACTATATTTTAGTGATCCTAATAAGAATGCCTTGAGGGGTTTCTACAGGTTTTTTTCAAAGAATATCTTGCATACCCGGCCTACATAGATATATCTAATCATTTCAAGTCCCAAGAATACCATTCTGAAAACTCCCATTAAAAAATTAACCACCAAAAAGAACGTTAATATGTCTATCTGTTGTGTTGTTTTTTTATGTTCACAGGAAAGTTTTGTTGTTGTTAATATGCAGGGGCATTTATAATTTGTTCCCTCTCATCCTATGCAAATTTATGGTCAAAAGGGACCATACTCAGGACCTTCTCTATTGGTGGTGGTGATGATGATGACACAATTCTATATTACACGTGGAGTCAGTCCCAGTTTAGAATGTGTTCTTACTTTTTTTTTTTTTTAACGGAAGGCTCCCCTTTAAATTAAACATGCATATCTTGAACTTTGAACAATCAAGCATACATTATTAGCCTTGGAGAACCTTCTGCTTTATAGCCTAATTCTAATGACACAAGGCAACATTAGGAAAACCCGTTACCTCTGTGTAAACTTCAGATATGGAGTATAGTCGATAACCACTGGTGTCTTACCATCCATAATTTCCCCTTTCAGGCAGAAACTGTAAAACAAATCAAAATTGGATTAAGTTATTTAAAGATCCCTGTCTTTGGAGCACTTATACTGTAGATGGACCAGTACTGGGCCATGGCATGCCAGCAACCAGTCTGCACAAACAAGCAGAGCCCCATCCACAAGATGCAGGCAGCACACAAAACCACACACCCTCCAGGCCACAGAAAAACCTCTCTCCCTGGAACTGGTCCCTGGTGCCCAATAGGTTGGGAATCTCTGCTATAGATAGCTTAGGGCTGTATCACAGTTCTAATGTCATTTGGGCACACGCATACCACAATATCGTTCATTTAATTTAATGTGCAAAGGGAATAAAATATAGTTCATTCAAAGGGTATATCATGGAAGGCACAATACTTACTTAAAGTTAACAGTGCTTATCCAGACAAAAATGATTAAAATAGGGGGCATCAATGTACCTGAAGTCTATAGCACTGAGGCCAATCAGCATTCCTGTAAGGACAGTTGATTCTTCTCGCAGCATTATTGCTCCATCATCGTAAAATCTCCTTTAGAGGGAGAGGTGAGGAAGAGAGAGGCTTGTTGATTAAATGGGGACAAATATGGAAAAAGATACGGGAATTGTTATCTCCCACTGTGCTATTACAGGTAGTCCTCAACTCAGATCACACCTGAGCCCAAAATTTCTGTTGCAAAGTGTGACAGTTGTTAAGTTGCCCCATTTTACGAGCTTTCTTGTCACCGGTATTAAGCTAATCACAGCAGATGATAAATTAGTAACATGGTTGTTAAGTGAGTATGGCTTCCCCGTTGTCTTTGCTTGTTGGAAGTTTGCAAAAGGGGATCACATGATTCCAGGACACAGCACCGTCATAAGTATGAGACAGTTGCCAAGCATCTAAATTTTGATCATGTGACCATGTGGCTGCTGCAATGGTTATAAGTATGAAAAATGGATATATGTCATTTTTTGCAGTGCTGTTGTAAGTTCGAATAGTCATTAAATGAACTTTTGGAAGTCAAGGACTACCTGTATTACAAATATGGAAAAAAACAAAATAGGTACATTTACATCCTTCTTCCTTAGAGCAGAAAGGAATACACACAATGCATACAGACAGATAGGTCATCCCATGTCAAAACTATTTATAAAATAATACTTTACTGAAATAATGCCTGCCATTGCCTCCATCCTTCTTTTCACAGGAGGCTTCTGACAACTCTTGCTTACTTTTGTTCTTTTTCTGGATAGTCGGGTACTTCTTAACCAACTCCTTTGGCCACAGCTATTTTATATTTCAGGAAAAGCATATGGGGATAATTTGGGTTCCTAGACATGTTCTTAAAAATTAAGCTAAAGACAGATGCTTTCCTCTGCAGCCTGCCAACTGCAATCAAAAGACTAAAAACTTAGATCAGGTAGGAGCTTGAAAGACACCAAGAGATGTTTACAGGCTCATTGACTTCCTCAAGTCCAATCCCACCAGACAGCATCAAGATACTTCTAAGCCATCCAAAACTTCTGATGTGTATAATACATTTAAACCCACTTAGCCAACAGTATGAATATGAGGCATTTTTGCATCGTAGAGGCAAAGCATTAGGTACAGCTTTCTCTCTATGTGAGGTCAGCATCAAAAATTGGGCTAGTGCCAGATATTTCACTATAAGAGCTTCTTGCACATTTAGGCTTAGAATTTTAGATGCACAGATTTCCAGCAAGAGCTGAGAGTAATTGTCTTGCACTTGCAGAATACAAACTAATTTATGACTACTATATATTGAAGAAGAAAAACAACAGCAGAGTCATTATATACTGTGGGAAGAATCCAGAGAAAAAAATATTTTGAAGAATATTAAAAAAGCAGAATATATTTCCCCAAAGGAATAATGGAGAAGATCTTAAAAAAAGACAAACCAGCCCCAGCCCCTCTCCTCAAGCAGAAACTTTTAGGCCAGCTTTTAGAAATTCAGATGCAATAATCCATTCAGGAAGGTTGGAGCCAGGAAGCTATTAGGAAGATGAAGACACCTAAAATCTACATACCGCCACCCAAATTCTAAGGACAGGAGACATAATAGGATTAACGCACCAATACCAAAAGGGCACACTCAGACTCAGGTCAAAGTACACGACACAGGAAATATAAAGCCTCAAACAGGAACAGGAAACAACCTCAAGAGTCCCAGAAGGAATAAAAACTCACCACTTCCTGCTACATGTGGTCAGTTTTTCCCAGAGCCATCTTTCTGTCTGGCTCTCCTCTTCAATAAACTCCAACCTTCTTTCTAAAGCAGTCTGCATTTTATTTATTCCCAGCTTGGACTGGACCCTGATGAAGATTTTTCTCTCAACAATTTGGCGACCCAGATGGGACTCCAATGGACTGAGACTGATAAGTCCCATCTTGGCGGCAGCAGACCCCTTGTGTCTGTGGATGGGTTTCCCAGGCCCTGGCCATTTGGAGCAAGGGTAGTAAAGGGAGTTTTCAGTTTGAGCTCAAAGGCTGCTTTGGAAAGAAGATGAGTACCTCTAAATTTTAATTTTAAAGCCCAGGGGATTGAGGGAAATGTGTGTATATCTGTATGTGTGACTGAGAAGATCTTTTCCCCAATCACAGTTGGATTTTGCTGTCTCTGGCCTTTCCTAACCACAGAAAGGATCTGTTCAAGTGACAGACTCTGGAAAGCATGGGGGTTTGGCCAGAGCACAGAACCTTTTGTTAGGGAAAAGGGATAGGCTGTGTTTAAATGGAATGGAAAAGTAAGTGAGAGAACTGGATTTGGGCAATTAGCTAAGAATCACTGAGCAGAGCCCTATTCTAAAAAGGAGGTACTCTGAAATCACAGTGGACAGAGTCCTCCCAGGCTATTTGTCTGAAAAACAGAAGGGATACTACAGGTTGGAAGGTACCTCCACCTGTTGGGGCGGTGTATTTCATGGGCAGGGTATTCCGCAGGTTGTGAGGGACCAAGGAGAAAGCCTTGTAGTTTCATTGCAGATGGTGGGAAAGAGCATGGGAAGCTCAGGATCTAGGATCCCATCAAGGTCTCCTTTAAGGAGGCTAATGGATGCCTGGGGCCAGGACAAATTGCCTGCCCAGGTGGGAATGAGTAAGAAGTATGCATGCAAGTTATGCAGGAATGGACTCTGCTCAGGGATGAAGCAGGAAAAACCAAATTGGCTAAATAAAGGTACTTAAAGGAAAAGGAAATTAAAATATAGGAACAATGATTTTCTCTCTCTCTCTCTCTCTTTCTATGCAACCACGTGATATATTTAAGATTTGTGCCTTCCCTAATTTGAGCTAACTGAGATTTATGGTGAGAATGACCAGGATGTGTAAAACTAAGAGTTCTGTTTCTTTTTCTGTTCTCTTTTCCTTGTCTATGGGTGTGTGTGTATGTGTTAAAGTCTTTGTGTGTGAAGAAAATGTAACTGTTGGGTTACTCTAATTCAACGAGAAAAGAATTTTAAAATTCTGCTAAAAATTTTGCTTAAAATAAGCCATCAAAAGAAAAATACTTTCACTCTTATTCTGTCTGGCCAACAAAATAGAGTGAAGTGAAGAGAATTGAGTTCTCTTTTGCCTTCCCTTGTCAGCAGGGAATATTTTAAGCTTATTTAGAGGAACAAGTTGTATTTGTGCATTTTCTGTACATGTTGTAAATGGGTTTTATCTGTCTATCCTTTTCCTGAAACATAAGGTGTGTCTAGCTACAAGAGCCTCATGCGCTCAAGTTTGCTTGTGTAGGGAAATAATCTTCTTGTTAAGTTACTTTTCTTATCCTATCACTAATCAGTGAAACTACTATGGAACTAATCCTGGAACACATAAGCATTTATTTTCAATCTCTAATGTGGTATTTTTATCTAAATTGTGCATTGGTAATGCTGGGAAAAATGCTGTCATGATGTTTAAATATTTTGAAAACAGATATAAAAGGTAGACTCTCCTGCCCCTGGCAAATTGCACACTTTAAAATATTAGGCTTTTAAAATTATTTGGAGCTTTCAGCATTCTCAAGCTGCCCAGCATTTTCAAGTTGCAGGTCCTTAAGTCCTCTTTAACATGTTGCAAATGTTCAATTTCAGAAGTGAGACCTTTCATTTTTTGTTCTCTTACCAAAATCCAGCCTCTCTTTTGCCCTCATCTGTGGTGTCCCCATTTTGTTTGCTTATCTGTTTCTAACAACTGCAGTAATGTCTTTTCAAACGCTGCCTGCAAGCTACTCTTCCCCCATCTACTTCTCCATTTCTTATCTTCTGTTTTCCATTCCTTTGTATGATCCCCAGAAAGGGGAGAGGAGACCTTGTTCTCATGTCTTTCAGCCCTGCACAGATGACCCCCCACAACCTTTGGAAGCACAGCACACTGACCCAGATGCTGCCTCCATCCCATTTGAGCCAGAGAATTGGGTTTGAATCCAGCCATCCACTAGAAAGCCACCATGCAACCAGATAGTAAAACAGATTTTCCCAAGTCCTACCATCCCCCCAGATGCCTGCGAAAGCTGCAGAGGAAGGAAGGAGTCCTGGAGCCATTGGCCCCCATGTGAAGCCTCAGAAGACAACAAGGAAAGACTATGGAGGAGGGTGGAAATTCATTGTAAGGTTTTCTTTCTTGTCTCATTTGTACTGTAATAAGCCATTTGAATGTATTTATGGAGGGATGGCATTTGGGAATGGTTGGCACAACAAGTACTGAACACCTTGGACTTCTGTCTGGTGGGAGGGAAAATTTGTCCAGGATGCTTGTATTGCTTGTATTGCCTGTTTTGTATGAGTAGCTACATGCACAAATGCACACACACCATTCAAAATCACACTGAGTCTATCCCCTTCACCTAGCTTCATAAAGCTCCAGCCTGATTCTTGCTCTGTGGCATTAAAGCTTTGCATGCACAACTTCCTGTAAATTCCAAGGGGGAGGGAACCAGGCCCCCTCAGGCGATTTGCAATTCATATGCTCTCACTGAGGAGGTAGCAGGAAAGAGATCTCCAAACCAAGCTCTGAATATGTTGCACTGGTGGACTCAGAGTGGGAGTCCTAGGGCTCACTATGTACAATTTAAGAAAAATTAATAGACTGGTGTGCACACTGGCTAACCTCAATTGGACATCACAAACCTGGATGCACTGAACTACGAGCTAAGGCAGGAAACAATCCTTGAAAATGGGCAGCCAGTGGTTATGTACTGAGGCAAACATGGCTGTGAGTAGTTTTGAGGAATGTGCAAACCTGACTGGAAGCTCAAAGTGACATCCAACATTTGAAAATAATTGGTACAGAATATTGGACACTATAAAAAAAATTTTCCGCCTAACAGAACATTTGCCCTGACTTTTAGATCTTCATGGTTGAAACGCTTCCCCTTTTTGGGAGTCAATGCGGGGATCTTTTTCTGCTGCCTCTATTAGTGTCTTCCCCCTTTTTTTGCATTAACAGTTTAAAAGCTTGTTTTCCTACATCCTGGAGCTCCATAGATGTGCCCATCAAGTCTCCCTGACCAGATCACATTTTAATCTTGTGCTAGTAAAAGTGTGTTACCCACAAAGAGGGGATTGTGGGAGGTCACCCAGAGAAGGAAATATTTTGAGGAATATTAAAAAGACAGAATATATATTCCCCCAAAGGCAGAAAAGCAAGCCCAGTTTTTTTAAATAGCCCCAAGCAGAAACTAGGCAGAGGCCAGCTTTTAGAAATGCAGATGTGATAATCCTCTTCAGGAGGGTTGGAGCCAGGAAGTTAGAAGCTGATGAGATTAGGAAGACAAAGACCCCTAAAATCTACACACCCCACCCAAACTCTAAAAGACATGACCTTTGGGGACATAATAGGATTAATTCACCAATACCAAAAGGGCATACTCAGACTCAGGTCAAAGTACATGACAGAGGATATACAAAGCCTCAAACAGGAACAGGAAACAACCTCAAGAGCCCCCAGAAGGTATAAAAACCCTCCACTCCCAGCAACATGTGGTCAGTTTTTCCCAGAGCCATCTTTCTGTCTGGCTCTCATCTTCAATAAATTTCAACCTTCTTTCTAAAACAGTCTCCATTTTGTTTATTCCCAGCTTGGACTGGACCCTGATGAAGATTTTTCTTTCAACAATACTGAGTACAAGATTTCCAAATGGGAATCCACTTTTTAAAATTCTGCAGTGTCTAATTACATGTATCTTAAGTTTACACTGTGTTTACATTTATTAGCACGGACACTTTTTTCCTTCCTATTTGATAAGATATGTGAGCCTATATGAGCTCCTTTATATAGTTGTAATTTTGCTTGGGAAAGTAACTAGAAAGTGGGACTCCAGGCCTGCTTGATCAGGAAAAGGAAAGGAAAAGGGGGTATGGCTATTTGATACAAGCACAGACGTTCTTACCTGGTTGTTCTGGTATCCCGCAGTGCTGTAGCAATATACTCAGACATGCGCTTCTCCATCAGGGCCACACGAATCCACGCCCGGCCCTAAAACAGAAAGTTTGCTACAATAGGCAGCACTATAAAAGTTGTTCATAATAAATGTACAGATTTATATCTAGTTCAACCTGAATCTGTACACGAAGTAAAGATAGTGAGGAAAAAATCTAAGGAAAACTGGATGACAACCAAGTGAAGGTTCCCATTGTGACATTAAGTAACTTAAACCACTGCTGTTTCCTAATACATATGTTTTAGAAAATCAGAATGTCTTATCCTCTCCAAAGTTTTTGCCTTCTAGATAGTCCTCAACTTATGACCATTTGTTTAATGACCATTGAAAGTTGTGACGGTGCTGAAAGATGTGAGTTACAACCAATCCTCATGCTTATGACCATCATAGCATCATCACAGCATCTTTATAGTCACATGATTAAAATTTGGGCACTTGGCAACTTACACACACACACACACACACACAAACACACACTGATATCAGTGTCCTGAAGTCATGTGATTGCCATTTACGACCTTCCCACGCAGCTTTTGACAAGCAAAGTCAATGGTAGAAGCCAGATTCCTTTAACCACAGCAAAAGAAGTCATAAAATTGGGCACAAATCACTTAATGACTATATTGCTTAGCAATGGAAATTTTGGTCCCAATTGTCATAAGTAAGTGTAATTTTCCTGTTTTTATAGAATTCACTTTCTGACAAGTTATATTTAAATTGATAGGTTCTTTTCTCTCCTCCTCCCACCCAGCTTTTTCTCAAATGGACCTGCAGCCACAGAAAGAAATTTCAGAAAGCCATGGCCTTTTCTCCATCATTTCCCCAGAATGCTGGTATGCAGATTGACTGCACAAAGAAGATAGCTGACCTGTGAAGGAGGAGAAGGAGAAGGAGGAGGAGGAGGAGGAGGAGAAGGAGAAGGAGAAGGAGAAGGAGAAGGAGAAGGAGAAGGAGAAGGAGAAGGAGATCCAGCTCTTGATCTTACCACAGGCCCACTCAGAAATAAGACTGAGAACAAATAGAACTGAGAGGGGGAAAAGAAGAGATCTCTCCATTCTCAGCCACCTACTCTTTTAGCAGGGAATGTAGGAAAAGAGAACAAATGGGTTCCTCTTTCTTGATCTGGTGATTTTCAAAAGTTTTTAAAAGTTTTTGGAGAGCTTTTTGTTCTCTTCCCACATGCTGTGCCTGATGTGTGGGATCAGGAGGCTCTGCAGCATATAAAAAGGCCCTTTTATCTTTCTTTTGTTGAGTTGCAGTAAAGCTAACATGTTTATCCTCACACCTCAGTGCTGCCTAAGGAAGGGAGACTCAGTTTACCCCATTTTAAAAAATACTGGGAGTGCCCAAGGTTATCATAGGGGTAGGATGTGAGTGCTATTTATGTATATGTCAACAATAGTAAAAGCACTCAAAAGGTGGATGCTGCATAGTCAAGACCCTGCCACTGTGGTGCTTTGATCATGGGCATGGGATGGCAATCATTATGTTGACTTTTCCTACCTTTCCCTTCCCAGCATATGTTTCTGAGTGTCAATATGCAATCCTGGAGGACGCCCTAGGCAGAAATCTCAATTATGACAGAACATTTAGGCCATAACCTTTAAGTCTATTTTCTTACAACAGGATATGGTAGCTCTACCATAAATAAATATAAATGACAAAGAACTCATAGAAGAACTAATGATTGCCTTACTATTTCTACCTTAGCTGGAAGCAGATTCTTCATCAGTTCTCCATATCAATACAACTAAATCCCACAGTTTAGACATCATTCTCAGAAAAGATGCTGCCAACCACATCTTTGTTTCCAGACATGATGAGTGTTCAATGACTCATGGGAATCTGAACCCATGATTTTCATTAAGATAATTCACACAAAGAGGTGTTTCTATTAGTCACAAGTAGCCACTAGAAACATACAGAAATTCAGGCAACTCACCTGTTATGTAGACATAACAGAAGACCCCAGACAAATTCAAATAAAGCAATGGGTTATTAAAATTAATAAAAAATAAAATTTTATCTCTCTCTTTAATTTGAAAAATAAGATACTTAACTCTGAATCTTTAACTTAATTGGTAATCAAGAGTGAGCAATTCAACATTGTCAAATGATTTAGAAAGATAGGACTAATATCAAGCATAAGTATTGGATTAACATAAGAGAAGGTAATGTGTCCAACTTTAGAAAGAAATAAGAGTATTTTTTCCTGTTCAAGTATTTCCATTTCAATCTTCTGAAACACAACGTATACCAACAATATGGACTACCGAATTTTGGTACATCCTGGAGAATGCAGCATAGATAAATCATTTTTAAAACCATTATTACTTTTCTTCCTGCTTCTGCTATCTGCATATATAGTCAGGTGCACAGCAGCAAGGAAGGTGAGCTGGGTCAAGGACAGGCCCAAAGGATTTTGTCAAGTGAAGTAAAAATTAAGATGCTTTCCAACTCCATCCCACATATAGAAATAAACTGGCAATTGAATAGCAACCTCCATAGTGTCAAAAGGCAACATGTTAGCTTGGAGAGTTAGTGTAGGCTGTATAGCATGAACAGCTCTGTCTTCACACACCTGGCTGCCACTCACAACTGCCAACATATTTTGCCTGAAGTGGCCCCTTAGCTATGTGTAATGCCAGAGCTGGCCCAACAGGGCTTCCCTGGGTCCCTGAGATCTTCTGACCTTAGCTCTGGAGGTACTTATGTTTTCCATGTTTTCAATACTACTGACGCAGTTATTTGGGACTTTGTTGCATGCCAGGCGGATGTAATCCCAGAAGCCACGTTGTCCATCAGAGCTAAACCAACTGGCAGGACCTAGGAGGAAGCAGGGAGGGAAGGAGGGGAAAGACTTGTAGTGTAGTGCAGACAATACTGATCAATAATGAATGGCTATCTATTAGTGGCTACTTGCCAAGGAGTCTAATCTTAAATCTATAATAGAAGCATATTAACATTTTTATGTATTCACATTTCTTCAACATCCCTAGTGTATTAAATCTTTCTATATCTAGTCTAGTCCATGACGAATATAAAGTACTTTGACTAACTTCTTTTATCAGAGTTCATCAGAAGACAGGTCTGTCTTTAATGGTAGATCTCAGAGTATATTGAAAAACAGCAATCAACTACAACAGGAATCACAAAACAATTTGATTGATTGCTAAAAATACAACACATATATAGTATTATAACAATTAGGATGAGCATTTTGTATAAATGTCAGATATACTTAACTCTAATTGTATATCAGATATTATTTAGAAGGTGGATTTTGAAGTTGCACCAGCAAACATGGTCATTCCCACATCCGTTATTATACACAATGAGACAGTTACTGCCTGCCATCCCTTGGGAAGACTCATGGAAGAGAAAGGGGACAAGGCAGGTGATAACTATCATAGAAGCCTACTCAGATGTTCTTTTTTCTCCTCTTTTACAAAGCTCCCACCAACTGCCTTGCAGAAAGAAGTGTATAGAACAGTTTTAGTTCTTTAAAAATTTGTTTTTATTTGCCTTTAAGCATTTATATCCTATTTTTATTTTGTACAATTCAGGATAGAGTACATAACACTCTTATCCAGAATGACTGGGCCAAAGTTACCCAGCCAGCTTTTATGCCTAACAGAGGACAAGGATTTAGCTTCTTCATTTATAGTTCAGCATCTTATCCAAACTGACTATCATGGGAGGACTGAAAGGTAGGACACAAATAACAATAATTAATAATAATTCAGAAATACAAATACTCTTGGCTAAAGGATCACTGCAGAAGTTAGTCTTTTTGCTTAAGCTCTTAAATACTTGGGGCCCTAAGATAACCATTAGAACTTCCTGGTTGCTTCTAATGGTGATCTATATATGACACAGAACTATGAATAAAATTAACCTTTGGTTTCATACAGAAGGATTTCATTTATATTTTTAGACTCATCCATCCATCAGATTCAATGGCTATCTCTTGACAATCATAATAACATATTTTCTTCAGTCTTTAAGAAAGCAATAATTCTTATTTATATCACGGATTGGATTGATAAGAGTGACCCTGAAGTAAACAGAGTTAGCGGTTTACCAATCAGTAGGATAAAATACTATATTGCACTGAGACATATCTCTAGTTTATACTGTATGCTGAGTAATAATGACAAGTATGCAGACCAACCACTGTTTTATCAAGCCACTGGTTTTTAAAGATACTTAAGCTCAGTCTTGGACATCTCAGATTAGATATATTGACATCAGGAGACTTAACATTACAAATTCCATTCTATGATTCTATTCTATATGTTTTTTTTTTATCCGATCTTATGTTGGATACATAAGGAATCTGAAAGGAGATTTCTCTGTTTTACCTCAACATTATGCAGGAATCAGTCATGCATAGGCTAAGCAGTCAGGCATAAGCTTGGCAGTTTTTGCTTAGCTCCTCATATAAAATTTGCAGCGATGCAGATTAGCATCACCACCATCATCCTATTCATCCACAAGATAAGTTTATTTGACTTACCATGATCCCCTTTGAAACGATGGCTGAGTATATGCTCTAAAATTGCAGCAAAGTTCACAAACTCCTCTGATGAGTCATCAATGGGTTCTATCGTATATTTTTCCAATAAAGTCTTCACAGAAAATCTACAATTGAATGAAAAAAGGAAAGATAAACAGAATTAAATGAGAAAAAGAAGCCAAATCACCTGGTACAGCTTTTCTAATTCTTTGTAAAATATGAACATAAGACAAAAGTCTTCCTTCTCCACAATGGGCTGATTCTTTGCTCAAAAAGTAGCAGCGGAAAGCTTGGGCTCAGCCTTAGTGAGGTAGCTTTGAGCCTGTACACTAATACTCATTATAGCCTGTTGTTCCCATGCTCCTTGCTCAGCAAATACAGCTTTTAGAAACATCATTCATGTCTTCCACAATCAGAATTCTGTGATGAAATGTAGTTTTGCATTTAAAAAAAAATCTGCCTTAATCATTGGTCATAAAAAATCCTGCTATTTAGGAAATGGAGAGCTGGAGACTTCTATTGAGGATCCTAGGGGTAGAAGTGCTGTTCAGATTAGTGAAAGATAACTTGGCCTATGTAAGCACATGAGATGGGGGAAAGATAGATCACTAGGTTAGACTTCAGGTACCGGAAACTCATCTCCTCCCAAATTGGAATAATTTACCCTTAACAGATGACCAATCTAAGCTTCCCTATAATTATGTGTTTCATTGTTTTTCTCCTGTAAAATGAGGGCAATTTGGATTAGTCCAACTTCTACCTATCCTTATTTAAAACAAACATAAAGATGATCATTTAAATGTGTTCCTGGTATGCATTTTTAATTACTGAATTTCTTGCAAATATATTATGTTTCAATAGTACTGCTATCAAGCAAGCAGCTTTGGGAAAATTATTGAATGGATTATTTGTTATACCCAGTAATAACTTTAAGCAGCAGTGCATTAAGCAATACTTGAAAGTTTCTGACATAAATATGTTGAGACTTATAGCCATATCTCTAAGTATATAAATACTGCTTAAGCACTCTGTTGCAAACTAATATTGGGATATTGGTATCATATACACATTAAGTTGTTAATAGAGTAGCTGTTGCATTTCCGTATGATTCGCTTCTCTGGCCATATTTTTTCTGAGTTTTGCGGGATGCTGGGTAAGATGTAGCATCTGTGATTGGTCCCTCTTAAAAAATTACTCATCCTCAGAAGTGGCTACCAATAGCATCTCTTCATGAATCACCACTCTAGGCTGGCTTTCCACCAATCAGAAAACTTTTCCATATCACTGAATGATAATAATTAAAATTCTGTTAGGGCAGATAATTTCTATTTCTCTATATGTTAAAAGTAAACTCTTTTAAATGCAAAGCAAAGTTTGTGTACAAACAGTCACATAAAGAATTCCTCAGCTTTCAGGGGTCTGAGAAACATACCTTTTACTTAGGGTTTCACTTTTCTGCATTTTACAACTTCTGCTGTAATAGCTTAATTAAAGTATATTGTATTTTGATGTATTTTGCTTCTGTTTGATGCTCAAACGGCTTATGTTATACAACATTAAATGCATTGTGTAATAATAAACAAACTTTGCAGCTACTTAACTAGGTATTCAAGTATGAATTAGACAATCAAGCCTAAGTTGTAGACTTTTCATCAAAAGTTCATGCAAAATAATGCAAATATCAGGAAAAAATTAGAACTCTGGGCGAGCAAAGAGGAACTCAAAATGCTTAGTAATAAAAATAATGTATTTGGCCATTAAATATGCACCTGAAATTAGTCAGTTCTATCTAATAAAGGCTAATATCAATTGATAATCCCAAAAATTTTGGAAAACTGAACATTCTTCTTGATTTTCACACCTTCAATTATTCCTTGGATTCAATTTGGTTGCTAACCTGATCTCCTAATTGGCCAAAACTCTTATAAAAGCTTTTTGGTTCAACCCAGTTTGAAAGGAGCAGGTGTGTACAATGGTATGTCCGAAAAATCTATTGGAGTTGGCAGTTAATAAGGATCAATCAATCAATAAAGACTCCTGATTCAAAGCAATATAAAAGATGACTTGATCTACTGACAGTTAGCTTCCTGTGATGCATTCCGCATTAAACTCATTCAGAATGTCCCTTGCTATTTGCTTTTCTTCCTGTTTTGCATAGCCTTTGCAACTTAATTTGCAAATTTTAATTGGCTTTTCGTGATCTCTTACCTATGCTGTGGCTGCAATTCCTGAAAAAATATTCCTGAAAGTTCCATGAAAACATGAAATGAAAGCTAATTGAAAATATGTTTTACGTAAGTGATTCAAAATAAGCATCGGAGCTGTTTAAACTTTTAAAATTATATGAAAATATGTGTGAAGCATCTCTTTTCATATTAAAGAAGCTTCATCTTTTTCCAGGTTGATAATGAAAGATTTGCACAGCCCAGAAAGCAATGAGTGTTTTTATCCATTTCTAAACTTCTACATTCTATGAACTACCTAAAGATTGAAAATAGTAACACCAGGATTATCTGACCAAATTCTTCAGATAGCAAGTAGTTAGATGCTCTTAGATAGTGATAGTGATATCTATCCACTCCTAGGCATCTTGTCATCCAGAATATAGATTATTATCATGTCAAAGTAAGTGAAGCATAATCCTGTAATTTATCTTCAGTGGTTTGGCTGAATATGCTCAGAGAGTACCTTTCTGAATGTTGCTGATTAATTTATCACTCGAGTATTTATCAAGTTTCTTAACATATATACTTATTTTAAAAAGTAAAATGAAGATAATGTTAATGAGTATCACAATTTCTCATTCCTTAATGAAACATTCAGAATGTAGCCTTTTCACAGAATTGATTCCCAAAGGTAAGGAAAAAATAATTAGTACCTGTTCAAGATTCTCCACAAAGCCTCTCCCCCCCCCAAAGTACACTTTGTATGCCAATATTCTTTCTGTGGTATTTTTGTTATCAAATATGTCTGTCATAAGGACAAAAAGAGAGTTATGCATAAGACTAGCCTTATGTGTAACTAGCTAGAAGATGGTCTTCTTTGAATTCAATGGAATTATGGCCAGTTTAAATATTTGCTGATAATGTTTGGATTTTATCAGTCAAGATTATCTACTCTTTTTTCTTTCTTCTAATTTATGTAAGCACTATATAAATTAAGAAAAAGAGAATAGCAGCAAAAGCTTGTGTACAAATATGCTTCCTGTAGATTTTTTTTCTTCAGTGGAAACCATGAATACTTGTATTTAAAAACAGTGTGAATAATATTGATTTACATCCATCACCCAGAATTTATTTCCTCCTCCTAAATTTAAAAGCCCTGATTATTGATATTTGCTTGTCTAAGAAAGATGGGTTGTGATTTATATTTTAGTCAACAATTGTGCTGGCTGGAAATATTGGAAAGATAACAGACTGGAAAAAGCTGTTCTCATCATTTTAGCTCCCCATTTTCCATCTTCTCCACCTCTGCTCCTTTCAGAAAGTTAGAATGATCAACATTCCATCCAACTTTCCAAAAACAATAGAATAATTTTGTATTAAAAGAAAACCCATTCAATCCTAAAAATAAATCTGTTAAGGTGATCTTCCTTCACTTCATTTGGAAAAACAAAAGGCACAATCTCCCGGTCACCGTGTTGAATAAAAGGTACAGAATGCTTTGGAGGCAGGCCATCAAATTCTGGCCAGTCCCAGGAAGGAAGAGGCATGAAACTTTGGTTGATTCCAAGATATGGTTGTTCACATTTATTCCTCTTTCTGTGTAGTTTGACTTTGACAGACAAGCAGTGGTCGTCTAGTCTTTGGTGTCTGATATATGGATTTCATTCTAATAGAAGAGGCCCATTGTCTCCTCTGCTTTTATTTCCCAAACTGTTTTTTTTCTATTGTTATTATTTTAAGCAAGTCCATCTGAATAAAAACATTAACCTTCCAACAAAAGCTGCACCATCTTCTCCCTGCTTCAGCAATGCTATTGTGATATAGGTTGAAAAAACTAGAAGGTTGTTTCTTCTTCTTCTTCTTCTTCTTCTTCTTCTTCTTCTTCTTCTTCTTCTTCTTCTTCTTCTTCTTCTTCTTCTTCTTCTTCTTCTTCTTCTTCTTCTTCTTCTTCTTCTTCTTCTTCTTCTTCTTCTTCTTCTTCTTCTTCTTCTTCTTTCTTCTTCTTCCACCTTTTGCTCAATGCCTTTGTTGAAAATGAAGATTGTTGCTATAGCAGCTGCCCACTCCTCCTCCTTTTCTCCTCCTGTCCCTTCTACTGCTCTACAGTGATGTCACTTCCCAGATTTCATATCTCCCTAAATGGATGCCCATAGCATTCTTCTGTCAACATTGTTTCCAAAAGAGCTTCTTCCTTTCCTTGAGAAAAAGAATGATATAAAAGAGATTCCAATATTGAAAGGGCTCCCTGTGACTTTCTGTTTCCTGTTTCTTTTTTTCTTTATGAAATTCAAGTTTTGATGTTTTTGGTTCTAAAGGGCAGCAATTCACTATAACAACTGAGAATTACAGATAGCCTTTCTCTTGCCTCCCAGAATTTTCCACCTTGCACTGGAGCTGCAATTCCAGCTGACAATTTGAAACTGTCTCAGCTAACTGATTGCTTTGTGAATGAAAATAAGGTTTTCAAGGCTGAAAATAGCTAGGCCAATATAATGTATGGTATTTTCCTTAAGTCTACTGGCCATGTGGGAGTCTACAGATTTAATTAAGGATATATTTCTGGAAATCACAATTACTTTGAATTTCTAATCCATAACTTGATATGTTGAAAACATAATGGAGGATGTGCTGGACTGAACCTCACTTCATTTCCAATTAACATGTCCATTGACTGTGCTGAGTGAAGTGATGAATAGTATGGCCCATCTTCTGTTAATGTCTAGTGCCTTGGGAGTCTACACAACCATTGATATTTGTTTCCCCCCCTTTTTTTTACTTTTAATTTGCTTGTTTGCCAAACCTAGCCTGCCGTCTTAGATCTCTTGAATTCCAATCACCCTGATTGTTTTTTCTATCACTCAATGTAGTATTTTCACCTTTTAACTTTTCTACCCCTACCCCATAGCACTGAATATTCATACTACCTATGTAAAATATGTGTGAAACATTGTATAAGTCTTTTGCCATTTCCAGACTTCTTTTTTTCATTTTTTTTAATTAAACATAGAATTAAAATATTGAAAAATGGCACCTTTCATTTCCACCTTGCCCACTAATCTGGCCTTCGTCCCATCTTTATCTTAGGGAACATGCATGCATGAACAGCCTTTTATTCAGTCTGCTTCCATCCCCCGCTCCCACCCCCACAATGAAAGAGTCTCTTACCTGCAGACGGTAATCAGGTTTTTCCTTTCTACTGAAATGTTCCGGGAAGAGGTTTTCTTGGAGGACAACCCCAGCGCCATGGTGGACCGGATACAATGTGATTCCATCCAGGGGAAAGATGCTCTCAATAGCCCGTGTGGTGTCACTGCTACCTCTTCCTCCTCCTCTTCGTCCTCTTCCTCCTCCTCCCCACCCCCTCCCCTCCCCCTTCCTCTTCTCCCTATTTTCCCCCAGAAAACAAGGCGTTGGGTCAACCTCCCCCAAGAGCGGATGGTTCTGAAGTATCTCCCTCCTCTCTCTCTTCCCCAAATTAGCTCCAGCCCCCTTCTTGGATGGCTCGGAGAAAAAAGCAGCAAAAGCCGGACGAATGGCGACAGGGGAGGAAAAGGTCGGGAGGAGCTCTCCTTGGTGCTGATGGAAAGCGGGGTCCTCCTCCTCCTCCTCCTCCTCCACAGAGGAAACCAGCCCCTTTGCCAATGACGTGATGCCCGAGGATGGGAACAGTCGGCGCCGGCGGAGAAGCCAGGAACGGGAAGGAGGAGAGGCGGCGCCTCCCGTGTCGGTGCTTTCCAGTCATTTTATGCAGACATTTCAGCCGTGCACAGAGCTCTCCCGCCATAGGTCTTCTGCACTTAGGAACTGTGCTGGGTTTGTTTGCGATTTTTCACTGCAAACAATCTCAGTTTTGCAAGAATTAAAATCAGCATAAACTGAGATATTTTCTCACCGAAGTTGTTAAACGGATAAATCCACACTTTTTCCTCCTGGCAGTGATTCACATGGGATAAAATTGACAACCGTGCAAAAACGAAGTGTGAAAGTTGAAGAAATCATACTGTATTGTTTTGCACACACATAAAGCTATGAATTTTAAAGAAAACATAGGAACGTTGGCCATTCATTAAGTTTAACTTGGTATAGCTGCTCAGAATCACTGCTATGAGAAGGGTGACCATATAAATTATTTAAACACATGAATAAAATTCAGCTTTGTCACATTTTCAAAGTAGGTAAATGAAGGTCAGAATCTTGACCAGCTCGTCTTCAGAATCCAGCACTGAAGCCAATATTTGAATAAAAAGTTTCCATTTCTAAGCTAGTGATTCTATGCCCACTAACATGGAAATAAGTTTCTTTATATTCAGTCAACCTTTTTTTGAGCATAGACATGTTGGACAGTGTGCTATAATTCTGGAGTAATGTATGAAGCTTATAAAACATCCAATGATTGCTCACAAACTTCCTTGCAAAGGGAAGCACTGTTGCTGGACTTAATTACCTTGTGCTGAATTCTTTAGAAAAATCTCTCTCTCTTTCTGCTGCCATGCATTGAATTTTGAAGTTGAGTCAGAATTCTGGGAAGCAAATAAGTAAAAACATCCTCAGGTCAAGGACTACTTCTAGTGATTGCATCCATTCAGTTTTCTTGGCAGTGGTACAGAAGTGGTTTGTCACTGCCTTCTTCCAGGATTTTTTTTTAACGTCTCAGTCTACTTTCTACTCTGGAGTTCCTAAACAATACTAATCAAGGCTAACCTTGCTTAGTGTCTGGGATAAGTAAAGTTGGATAAGTGCTGTCAGCTAGTAGACACAGAGGGACAAACTGGCTTCATTATCATATTCACTGTAGTTTATTTATTTATTTTCATAGATTACACACAATAGTAATTTACATTAGATTTTTATCTCTATATCTAAATTACTTCAACCTTTCCCAACATGATGCTTCCATATGGGCTAGGAATTGAAATACCCCAAATTGTCAGCAATTATGCCAGTTTGGATTATGGATCTATTATCCCAGCATGTGAGATCACTAAAATTGGAGGAATCAGAAACGGATTATGTAAAGATTTTCAAACTTTGTATCCTGAAGTAGATATTTTCTCATTTTCTTATGTGCTGTACTTGTCTTCTATGGAATACCTATGAAACAAAGAAGATTCTGTATCATATTGATTATACACATCCACTTCACACTCATTCTGGCTCACTTTTACCTTGATTGTTCTCAAAAAGCTAAACAGGATTAGATCTAGTTCGAACTCAAATTGTGGAAATATTGGGGATATAAGAATTGTAGGTTAGACTGGGCAGTTGAGAGAAACATCCTGGAAAAATGGCAACACTATTTTCTTGTTGCCAAGGAAACTATAAAGACATGAATCCACCAGGGCTCAGTTCATCTTGAAGAACACTTTAATTTATGGCGTATAAAATTAAAAATGCTCCTGACAACATGACCAACTCTCTCTTGAACCAAAGATTAGTAAGAGTGGGCTACTTCTTAAGAAAGGTTGATGAAAACTTTAAAATTTTCTACTCTCACTGTTACCATCCATTCCAGCTCCTCCACTGTTTATGCACATCTGTTGTTCCAATGCAGAGACAATCCCTGAGAACTCTCAGATTATTAAAGAACATTAATAAGGCATCTTGTAAATAATCAGTGGGCTACATTTGGTTCTTGGTAGGTCCCTGAAGTCCAACTCCCATCAGCCCTAACACAGCAGAGCTAACAGTGATAGATAATGGAAGTTGCTGTGCTCTCACTTTACATATCCCAAGTCTTTAAAGCTACCTTTTGTACATATTGCCTGCTTTTGAAAATCAGAACCTTTGGGTGAAAAGGTCATTTACCCATTTCAAACAGAAATAGTTACATTTATGAAGAACACTATTTTAATGCTTTGGTAAAGAGGTATTTGATTAAGTGAGAGGCAATCCATTCCTGTGATTTTACCAATTGGCTGCATTAAAGTCAGGACACCAGAGAAAAAATCAAATAAATTGGAAATGCTTGTCAGATTAAAACAAATATAGATTCATTTGCTTTACATTTATTGTCCTGCGATCAGGCTTATGAGCTGCAAAATATTTTCCCAGATCTGCAGTTTAACACATAAATGTTTTTCTTTGACATTTGATTATTTATTTTATCTTTGATTATTTTCTTTGTACAAAAAAAACTAGGCTAAGCTATTTGCTGTAAACTGGTGAAGATGTCTATATTAATTCTTATCTCCTGCTCTCTGCAGGTTGGCATTGGTATAACATCATGTCTTGAAGAGGAGAATAAGGAAACAATCAGTCCTCTCAGATGTAGGGAGGGATTCTGCTTTTGTCAGCTGAATGTTCTAGATAAAGCAAGGCAACTTAAATGGAAAACTTAACTTAGTGGAAAAACCACCAATCTGTTCCAGTGCTTTGAACAGCAGTTTGTTTAAAATGATAAAATGGAAGCAATGCATGTAAGTATTTCCACATCAAGCTACCAATAAAAATGCAACAATGAAAATTAAGCAGAAACTGAGCAGAAATTAAAACTGGCTACTTTAACATTCACAATGATCAAGAATTAGATTACTGGGGTTAGAAGGGATAATTCTGAGAACTTGGGTCACTTGTACTAACATTTATGTTTTTCTTAATGCAATCCAGGTTTAATAATAGCCTGGGCCCCAAAGTCTTTCTTGCAGTCATTGAGAACTAACAGTCAGCCTTCATATGTGGCAAAAATTCTGCATCTACAATACTTGCCTGTCGAGCTAGCATGCTCCAATGGCATGGGGATGATAATCCTATAATAATTTGCAGTTTCAAGATTTGGAAACTCCCTTCCTCCCTCCCTCCCTCCCTCCCCCTTTCACAAATTAACCCATAGCAGTATCCCAAAGCAGGGATTATTGGTGCCAACAATGTTGCAGAGAAGCTGAGGAGAAGCAACCAGGGAGGATACTTGATTCTGCTAGACCTGGCTGTCTACTGAGAGATAAAGCAGTTACTGAAGGAGGGAATGCTCTGAGATAGGCCTAATCATAAAGCACTATCCACTGTAAAAGACAGCTAGAAGCACCACCCAAACCCACCCCATCGACCTACACGCTATCAGGTGCCAAATAGGTGCCTCCTATCATTCTGTAAGAGGGTGGTTGTTTTTTTTTTCAAATATCACAAGGGAAATTTCATTGGCCCAGTTTTCTTGGCATATTTTAAAACTCTCCAATGACAGAGTTCCTCGTTTTCTTTCTCACAAAGATTCTAATGGTCTGAAGAAATCCACTTCAGCCAAATAGATGTTAAAGAAGTCTGCTGCCAAACAATGTATTGAATACTGTGACTCAGTCAATCTGATATTCAATGCCACCCACTCTGATTCCTGGGTCTCATCACTGCCTCCATAAAACTGTCAGGTCACATAACAGCAGTGTCAGAAGAAACAGCATATGCAAAATCCAACTGTTACATCCCAAAGCTTTTGGCCAGGAATATAGCTGGCTCCAAAGTCTGATGGAAGAGTCCTGAGCCTCTATGCTTTGAAGATGAATTTTATATTAATTTGGGAGAGCATTATTAACCATACAGAGAATAATATTAAGGCCCTCTATATGAGATATTAAAATGTTCAATTAACAAGTGTATTTTGCTATGATAAATTTAATAATTCTTTGAAGTTTGTGTTTTAATGTATCATTTAATATCTATTTTAGATTAAATCTTGGAAGTCTAGAAATAGGATTTGTTATTTCTTTCAAATAAAGAACACAAAGTTCAATTTTTAGTGCTCCATGCTAGTGTCCATTGCAATCTAATAACCAGCAAATGTCAGTGAAAGAGCTGCATATTTCACAGGGAGCAGCATCCTGCATTGAGACCGTGGGGAAAAAATATTAAAGAACACAGACATTCATTCATACACACATACACACACACGGGTATGCATGTACATGCTTATTGACTGAATGACTTAGTATTTACATAAAGTAGTTTAACTATATTTTACTAATTTAATATAACTAAGAGTAAATTTGCACTCCATTAAATAAAATTTAGACTTCTTATCCCTTTTGGCAGGTAGGTCTCAAAGGGCCATTACCACCTTCAGACAGAGAAAGATTGTGTGCTCTTTCTTTAAACTAGTTTCCCCAACCAGATTAGCTCTAAATGGATTGGGACTGCAATTCCCAATGCTTTTCAGTCAGTATAGATGGTGGCTGAAAGTCTGGAGGTTGTATTCCCATCTAGAGAATGCCATGCTCAGGGAAAGTGATCTAGCATTTTCTCAACTACACAATAAGTCAGTTCAAAACCCTCCCATGTCTCCACATCTGACACTCTCAGTTTTTAGCTTCTCATTCATTCTAAGTGGTTAGAGAGCTTAAACAGGTCTGAAAGATCCTGTCCTTGCTGGATCTCTAAATAACTGCTGCTGCTAAAAGAAGGATCTGCATTCTTACTCATAGATATATAAATTGGATATTATAACAAATCATAAAATTATGGGAACCAAAAGGCTCCCCTATTTAGTCTCACTGAGCTTTTCTATATGAGTAATTACATCTTATTCTAATGTGGAGTACCTAATATGCTTATAACATGAATTCTACTTATGTACTACATGTTTGTGGCTGAATGCTTATACACATGTATATATGTAATATATCTGTGTCTGCACCAACAGAAGGTCACACAGCTTTTGTAAGGCATATTAACTGTATTATACCACAGAGCAGTGAACCTATCCAAATATTTGTGCATATATGAAGCTAACACTTATTATGTTTAATCTTAGATCCTCCTCAACTCCAGGGGAAAGTCAGAACTATGATAAGAAATTTACTGTCTATCTGGGAAGGAAGCTAAGTACTACTCCGATGCCAGATGCTAGCACAGAAAGCGAATATTTTCTACAGGAAAATAAGTTAACAAATTTAAACAATGCCATTCTGACATTATGGATGGGACCAGAAGTTGCAGAAACATCCAGAATATTACTAAGCCACGTTTGGAAGAATAAAATATCAGATTTAATCAAAACATTAATGCTGTTTGTACTTTAACAGAGATACTTCCTAAAGTACCATCAGTAGGAGAAACAGATTTTGATTTTACAAAACAAGGTCTTTCCAATGTCCTATGTAAAGTAATAAGGCTGGTGCTATTTTTATGCTCTTATCTTGCAACTCTATCATTGTTACATTGCATTAATCGTTCCTTAATGTTATGTAAACTAATAAAATCACTTGTAGTTGGTTAATAAATGAAGACAAAAATAAAAAAAATGTTCCAAAATCTTGCTTGCATAAATTAAAAATCTCACTGGTGAAATACAATAAGTAAACTCCAGGAAATCTAGCTGGGTAATAAATTTAGAGAAGCTCCCTGCACCGTTGGGGTGGGGATATAGTTCCATTATTATAATATTTGGATTGAGCATGTAAGAATCATTGTTGTAAATTATTGTATATATTATATAGTTAAATATCAATCTATGGAAATCAAAAGATACCAGATGTTACAAGGTACAATGTATGAGCAGGGAAAACTTTTTCAGTAATGGGCACACTGATAAGGTGTCTTTTCTGGGGTGACCCAACTTAAAGGAGAGTGGTGTATTCCTGCATAGACAATACTCCTTCTCTAAGTCTAAGCTTAGACTTGACATTGCTCTATATTTCACAGTTGACAGATAATGGCTTTAATTATTGCTGGCTGTTAAAAAAAATGGTTTTTGTAGAAATGACCTATTTCTATCCTTAAGGATACTTTAGTTATCAGCTAAATGGAAGTAGAATTTCCCCTCTTTCAATGATCTCTATCAATTTTACAATAAGAACTCATCTGATCTGTGCTTATAATTTAGAGACAGAGTGGACATGGCAGATCTTGTGTATATAGACTATGGTGGAATTGTTCCTTCTTTCAAAGAGAATGATGTTTTATATTATTTAAAGAATAGTTCTGTAAAGTGCATCCATGAGAGTTCATCTGAAATTACTGGGGTACAGAGAGATACAGTTCATGACCTATTCTCGTCTTTCCCCCATTATCTGAAATGTACTAATAGGACAGTTTTCTGGTAAACATTTCACCAAAGGAGTGCTACAACTTTTGGCAGGTACTCTGCTTTCTTCCCCAATCCCATTAGAACCAGGAAAGGGAATTTTCTTGAAACCTTTAAAGAAGCTTATCTTAAAAATATGAAGTTGAGAAACTAATATGACTTATGGAAAAAGAAATAGACTTCCTGAGTCTTGTTCAACATTTACAATAATTTCTAAGGATGGTACAGCCAGTAGTAGTAAAATGGGAGGGGCATGCCATGAAAATTCAAGGAGACACAGATGGTTAGCAGGGAGGTAACACCACATGGTAATGCAAGATAATGTTGTTTACTGGCCCTTGAAAAATGGTAGAATCTAGAACCTCCAGAAGCATCTCAAGTGCCAGGTGATAGGGCAAGATTAAAGAATTAACTATGAGTCAGGACTTAGAAGCTCCTCTAGAATATGCTGTCATCTCATTACTGACTCTTGTGGATTGGTGGAAACTAGAAGACGGGGATTCCATAGAGCAACAAAAAGCTACATGGCTTAGATTTTTGTTGCTTTCTCATCAAGAATACCCTGCAAGTAAATAGGTGAGTGAATTTTATGTTTTTGAGTTTCTATGAGCCAATGAAAGATGCTCAGGATATAGACAAAAACTGTAGTAGAAATAAAGGATAATAATTGAGGAAGGATTATCATCTGCATTTTGGAAGTAAGAAGGACTGGAGGAACTCTCTTTAGTTAGCATTTTGTAGCTCCAAAAACACCAGTGATGAAAGATTTAGGCCCCTCTCAACCAATTCTTGCTGAACTACATCTCCCATCACCCCCACCATTGTGTCATGTGGGGTAGGGATAATTGGAATACAAATTCATATTGGGTGAGGATGATTAGAATTCTAATATTAATAAAACAAAATTATAGGAGATATGGAGGATCACCTTTGAGCTTCTTTTTCACTAACTATTTGATCTTTGTCTTGAAATATTAGTGCTTGGAATGCTTTATAGCTGCAGAAGTTTCCTAGGAATTTTTGAGTTTTGAAACAAAGTGAATCTACTTTGTGCTAATTCATATTAGTTTGGATTTATTGCTACACTTTTCTTCTCTTTTAACATTTTGTTCTTTTAAATGAATCATCCCTATCTTGTAGCATAAGACCCATGCTTAGAACTTGGTTTATGTAATGCTTAAGGCATAGCTTTTATCTTTCTGGTTTATACAATAAAGGGAAGAAAGGTTTCTAACCATGAATAAAAAAAATATTCTTTGTATTTAAATTATATTTTATGGAGCTTTTGAGATAGCTGGAGAATATGATGATGAGCTGGTCTCTTCTGTAAAATATTTTAATAAAATATCAAAAATTGAGTTTCTGGAGAAAATAAAGGGTCCATCAAATCTGGAAATGTGTCTGTAGAGTATAATTTATTTGATATTTCTTAGAAATTGATAAACTGTTCAAGATGACATAGTTTTTCCTATCAAAAATGAATTTGTCAATTATTTCTAAACTCATATAAACTACCCGCCACTCCCACATCTTGTGTCAATGAATTCTAGAAGCCAGAAATAATACCATACAGGAAGACATTAATTATTTTAATTCATCCAAATCTATGACATTAGATTAATTTGGATACTTCAAAGTCTAATGTCTTCAAATAAATCATAAATCTCTATTAATTCTCTGTTATTAGAATTGTGTTTTTTATACTTTTGGGAATATTATTTCTCAGATGACAGGACTGGAATTGTTCAATACTGTTGCATTTAATAGTGATTGTGTTCAAATACTGATGTCCATTAATTAGTTCTTATGTTATAAACATTCTTACTTCTTTATATTTCTTCATATAATTGATGACAGAAATAGTGACAATTATATCACAGATGTCCCAAAGATGTTCTTAATTGCCTCTATGTATTAATTGATTAATTAGATTGCAAGAATGGTGCAAAGATAATGAAGCTGAAAACTATATTCCAATTGTGGTACTTTATAGAATAAGAGGGTGAAGTATTTGGTGGGGTGAAGGGCTTCTCTGCCTAGCAAAGGTTAGACAGACATTTATCCAGGATACTTTAATTTGGATTCCTATAGTGAGTTGGGTTTGATGGCATAAATGGCCTCTTCCAACTCTGTATTTATATGATTGTAAGTGGATTTCGCACTATAAGATGACTGGGAATCAGCCACCAGCTTGTACAGATATTAAACTCTGCTTAAATTACAAATTCAGCAATTGACATGGGATCCCAAATGAGAAAGTCTGGAGAGTTATCCCAAAAATGCTTTTTCACAAGGCAACTAGACTTTCTTGTTTTTTCTTTGAAGTTGTTTTACTTCTCATCCAAGAAGGTTCTTCAGCTCTTAGTGCATCGCTAAATTTCTATGGATATTCTCAATCATCCGGGTCATAGTTATCCCAAAAATGCTTTTTCACTAGGCAACTGGACTTTCTTGTTTTTTCTTTGAAGATGTTTTGCTTCTCATCCAAGAAGCTGAAGAAGGGATAACTATGACCTGGATGACTGAGAATCTCCATAGACATCTGGAGAGTTATTTAATTCATAGTACTAATTCGTACATCATACTAAGACAGTTTTAATCAAATCTCAATTTGTTGAATAAGCCATAGTTGATTGGGTTTCTTATCACACTAAGGCATAAACTTGGTTTTATGAGTTACAAAGGTTGGATTCAGCCAACATACCAATGGCCATAGTAGCTGAGAGAAAGAGATTTATTGTCTAACCCATCCAAAGGATGCTAGTTTGGAAAGGCTTCTCTAAAGCCTTTCCAAATCTCCACCAAATTCAGCCTTTTTTCTTACAATTTAATAAGGTCCAGCCTAACCTGCACAGCAGAGAAAGATAATGCTTATCAGTAGTGCAGTAGTGCAAAACTCTATTAATTTAATCTGAACTCACTGACTTGTTGGTAATGTCAAGTCAGATCAGCAATTATTTAAAACTACAAATTGCTGAATGGAACACGATATACAACTCTGCCTACAGAGCTTCTGTCTCTCTCTCGTTAAGGAAAATGAGAATTCAGATTGCCAAGCAAAGACTGAAAGAAATCATAAATGCAGTCATCGAGTTCATAAGAAAGTCACAATGAATTTTTTTTTAATGAAAAGTTCTCAGTTAGTAAAAGATTTTAGATCTAGGTAAGGGAGAAGAAAAATGGCATTTTCCATTTCCACTCTTAGGAAGCCTGTCTTATTGGATGATGCTGATTTTCAGGGGAGGAAAGAAATATGCCAAACGTATAGTTTGATGAGCTTCTATGGGCAGAACGTGATAAATGATCAGGAATAGATGGACAAATATCCTTAAACATAACTTCCAAACTTAGCATTGCTACCAGATTTACCGGAAATGTACAATGTTTCCTGTGCATAAAATGAATGCAATTATACTGACAAAAATGAAGCGAAAGAAGTTTGTCAAGTACTATGTCAGTGGTGGCGAACCTATGGCACGGGTGCCAGAAGCGGCACTCAGAGCCCTCTCTATGGGCACGCGCGCCGTTGCCCCAGTCCTAGGCCTTCAGCTGGGTTTTATAAAATCTTTTCGCTTTAGGCCTCCACTGCCATGTACCCCAAAAAAAAAAGGTTCAATCAGTCAATTTCAACTTCTCGCAGAAAAAAAAAGGTCTTGCAAAGTTGGAATTGATTGACTGAACCTTTTAGTCCCACCAAGTCTGCCGTTACCACTGCAGCCATGCCCACCCAATGGGCCATGCCCACCCAATGGGCCACACCCACCCGGCACTCGACGATGCATAAGTGGGTTTTGGGTTGCAGTTTGGGCACTCAGTCTCTAAAAGGTTCACCATCACTGTACTGTTATGATAGAAGCAACAAAAAAAAAGAGAATGGTTTAGCCATTTAATCAAGAGGAGGAAAGTAAATTAACTTAGAATGTGCATTGCAGAGAAAAGACAGTGAGGCATATCTAAGCTACCATATCTGCCTCCTGATTGAATATATTATAAGGCAACTGTGTGAGTCTGCTAAGCAGTTTCAACGGTTCTTACTACAGTGCCCCCTAGTGTTGCAAAAAGGATATTGAAAAGAGGTAACTGCTCCACTGTTTTCTTTGTAACAGCAAAGTGAACGATTATTAGAATTGCATGTCACAAACACACAGTCTTTCACCTCTAGGCACTGTGGACATTGAAATTTCACAGTTAGGGATTATAAGAAATGCATTTAAAATAAAAGGGTTGGTGTCAGAATGTCTTCTAAATTCCCCTCTTTCTCTCCTGTTTATACACAACTGCACAATTTTTCTAGGCAAAAGCCTGAAAGAAAAAAACCTAAATTCTATTTTGTCTAAATATAAAATAATAATTTGAATAGAATTACCATGATTACTTAGTATGTATTTTATCTCCCCCCCCACAGACATACACACACACTTCTGCTACATTTATAATTACAACTTTTGGAGGGTCTCTCTGTGTGTGTGTGTGTGTGTGTGTGTGTGTGTGCGCGCGCATGTGCATGGGAGGGGCGCGCAGGAATGTCTGCTTGTCTGTCTATTTCTGTGTGTTATATGTCTCTATTTGATTGTAGTAATGAAATTCCAATTCTTTTGAAAGGATTTTGTGATCAGATCCAAGTGCAGAACATACCAAATATGCTGATGTGTATGGTTGTCACAAAGTTGCTTAATTAATGCATTTCAGGTGGCAAATTACCCTGAAATCTACCATAGGTAGATAAGTATTCCTTTTATGTTGCTTCAAAGCAATTTAACACACTGAATATCATCCATATGTATGGATTATAATTTTTCTTAAAATTATAAAATGCAATTGTTATAAAAGAAAAAAGACCACCAAAGCACAGATCTAGAATATTTTAAATAATAATAATAATAATAATAATAATAATAATAATAATAATAATAATAATAATAATAATAATAATAATAGTAATAATAATAATAATAATAATAAAAATAATAATAATAAGGAACATCTACTGGTGGTCTATCTTTTGCTACTGAATAATCATAGCCAGTACCTGCATATCGGAAATTAGGGGGAAATATTTTGATCTCAGAAAACTAATTCTTTCTCTTGAGAAAGTGATATTATAGCCCACAAGGGCTGTACTATAGAGGCTAAAATGTTAAGTATATGCTTTCTTTAAAGCTTAGGCCTGTTTGAATGTAATGAGAGAGGCTGTTGCAAATCAATTTTACTATAAAAATTTGCCTAGCTGGGAGAACAACAGAGAAAATACTGGAATGCAATGGGCTGATAATGCTGTTATCTGGATCTGCTGTAAAAAATGAATGAAGAAGAGCAGTTGACAAGAAGAGGGCCCATCTAGAAGCAACCAGAAATTGAATTAAAATAGTTTTCAGTTGGTTATATTCATTGCAGGACATAGCAACAATAACAACATATAATGATCACCATAGGAGTCACAAGGCACTGCTACTGAAATGGTTCTGGTCTTCTGCCTCTGTTTACTTCCACAAGGTACCCCAATATGTCAGTTTTATGTGGTCTGACTCAAAGAGTATTGCAAGCAATCTGCTCTACGATTTCCTTGAAGGTAGAGCTGGGTCCCATGTCTCTAACTTCATAATTTATCTTTGTTCTTCTGCATTTCAAACTAAAACAGTCAACCAGGGAATGTTATCTCCAGGCTGAGCATTAGGAAGAGAACAAGAAGGACACAAAAGAGGGACCAGAAGCCAAGAGGGAATGGCATCTCAGGTGAGAGAGAAAAAATAGGTTACTTCTACTTGCATATGAATCTCAGAAATAAGCCTTGAATTGGGAGGAAACTGTTATTTAATCAGCATCAAAGTTTGATGAATTGCTTAATACATTAATATTAATATGTGTTTTTATAAGCGTATTTAATATTTTCCCCTCTCAAAGGAAGATTACGAATCTGGGATTAAGGCGAAACTTGACCTGGAGGCGTATGGAGACTCTTCATTGAAACAGTCTAATATGTCACTTGCAAGTGGAGACAGTGAGTAATTCAAATCAATTGAAGAAAAGAGCAGAAATCTTTGAGGGCAAAACTTGTCGTATATTGTTGGATTGTATGATGTTGCAGAAATTTTGGCAGGATTTAGGATTCCACTTTGTACATTTGAATATGTTTAATATAGATGTTATTTAGAAGTTGGATCATAAGTTGATCCCTGTTTTAAAGGAATATTCATATAGGCTAAGCCACATACCCAGACATCTGAGAATGTGCCCACTGCTCCAGCAAACAAGAGTCCCATGGTAGATGTGTCAGTTGTCACTTACTGCAAACTAGTTCTGGTGAAAAGGGATTCTCAAAGAGAGCAATACTATACGAAGGGAAAATGTACTTAAGGCCAGCTAGCATATCAGGAGACATTCTCTTCCAAAGGTTCATCGACTGCAATTGTCAGTCAGAGGAAGATATCTCAGTTGAAGATTTTAAAGAAGCTGCTGCACAATAACTTCAGATTGTGAGAAAATGAGGTCTTTAATGATATACCAGGAAGCCAAAAGTCTCGGGTAATTTAAGTCCAGTGAAATTAATGGATTTTAAATTAGTCATGACTAATATAAACTTCATTAGGTTCAGTTTAGTATGACAATATTTGAGTCCTTCCCTTTCAATCTAATACACTGAATTCCCCCCTCCCATTCCTCCAGTAATGTGTATAGTGATGCATAGTCCTTTACTTAAAATTGGTACATCAGCTCTGTGTTTAACGACCTTTCAGATCAATCTCTGGAATGTGGGATTGGATCTGGTCCCCACAGACCTACTATGATGATATTTGGAAAGAGGTTAAAAAAAGTGACATCTGGACAGGACTGTGATTGAATAAGTTACTTACTCAGTTTTGCCTCTTAAGGATAGATTCTAAATGTGCTGCTGGTTCAGATTCATGAAGAATGGGTTTGGGAAGATAACTAAGACTATGAACATGCCTGTAAACTCCATATAATGTGGGGCAACATCTTTACATCTCCCAAAAGCAACCAGGGGACTTTATTACATTATTATGTTATTTTTAAAATAAATGGGTGACTTACAAATACAAAAAAATATTGTAAAAAAAAAAGAATGTATCTATGCATCCACTTCATTGGCCTCACCCGATGCAGGCAACCAGAAAGCCTATACATTTATTCTCTTTCCGTTCATTCACAATAGAAAGAAAAATTGCACACTGTGGAAGACTATCTTGAAATCCGAAATTATTTGACCCCACCCATATCATAGTCCAAGTCTGGATTGGAGCTTTTAACCCTACCCACCATTTTAAAAAAAATATGCCCTTAACACGTGCGGTATTGAGAAATTGTCAATCTCTCCATAATTTTTGAGTGCTCTCCTAGCTGAAAAATTCCTTACAAGTAAAGAATTATCCCAAAAGGAAAGGAGTAAACAAAAATATTTTCCTGTTGTGTGTTGTCATAGAGGGAGATTGTTTTGCTTTGCGTATTTTTTCAGAAATGGGAATATATCCATAATGCCTACAAATAAAAACAAATTGAAAATGTTTGACAACAACATATTCTTGCTATAATAGTTTTCTATATGAAAAAATATAATATTTGTTTATTTGAATGGGCAAGAAGCATATATAGACCAAATCTTTGCCTGTATCTTGGCTAATACATGGGGGCTGGCAATGAGATAGAAACAGCAGCCACTGTGACAGTACTTGCATGCTCTTTACGCTTTTACCATTAAAAAAAAATCCCCTGTATCTTAGAGCAAGGTAATAATATACATAATAAAATGACACATGTATTTCTATTTAAGGAATAAGGAGAGGCTGAAAGATTATGTGCATTAGCTTGGATGGAAGAAAGAAGTTGTTTGAGACACTAATCCCCAAAAGCCAAAAAGCATTTTTTTGGTATTATTTAAGAACTAACTGAAAATCACTTTGATGGAAGTGGGTAAAAGCACCAGGCTAGAAACAGGGAGACCATGAGTTCTAGTATCACATTAGGCACAAAGTCAGCTAGATGACCTTGGGTGAGTCATTCCCACTCAGACCTGAGAAAGAGGCTATAGTAAACCACTTCCAAAAAACCTCACCAAGGAAACTGCAGATACTTGTCCAGGCAGTCACCAGGAATCAACACTAATTCCAAGGTACACACATACAAGAACTATCAGACAATAATATTTGGCTTTTATGTTCTATTGGAGAAAGGAAGTTTAATTTCCCTACTGCATTTCATTCAATGGTGAGATTTTGGAAAATTTGGAACCAATTTGTGGCAATTTTATTTTAAATTTTAACTATGGCCCTCAGTAGAAATTAAAGAAATGAAACCTGGCACACTTTGAATATAATGTTAAATTTGCCATCTTGCCTATTAAATATTTTCCAAAATCCTACTTTCATTCCATCTCAACTTGCTTTCTAGCAAAGTTGGATTTTGGTATATAGCTTAGGATATGAGATTCAGCATAGAAGAGAGAGAAGGGCTGAAAACATAATGGCTATTGAACTTTCAGTTTTCCGTGCTGAAAGTGACATAGTGCTTCTGCCAATGATCAAGAAAAGAAATCTGTAACCATCTTTGAAAAGCAAAGCAGCTGGAAACATCCTATGTAATACTAATTATCAAAGAGGAGCCTCCATCCTTTTTCCCAAATGGTACAAAATGATAATCTTGCAGTCATATTAGACCAAGATATTTTGCTATTTAAGATGATTTACAGGATGGTGCCTTCAGTCTATCATTTACTGTATGTGTAAAAAAGTGTGTTTGGTTTAGGCTTGATTCCTTTCCCAAGGGAGATACAGGTATAGCAATTTTATCTGTCTTTCATACAGCGGTCTGTCTTCCAGAGCGTTAAGAGGGGCAGGGCGGGGTGTGTAGTGCAGAAAGTTCTATTTTCCACATCTGTTGCTGCCTCCTGGCATCTACCATCTGAGACAGTTGTCTTGCTTTGCATAATGGGAGGGATATTTATAGGAAAGTTACCGACAAAGTTTGAATGCTGTAATCGTGTCTACACTGACTTTAATGGGTTTTTTTTCCTACCTCTATCCAATAGATGGTTTAACTATTGAGAATCTCATCAATCTTGCCAAAATATTGTAAATTGTCATACAGCTGCAGCAGCACATCCAGGACTGAACTCTGGAGAGCAGATCTAGGAGTGTATGATTCGGGGCCTGGGAACTAGATGGACAGATAAGCTAGAGTCAACTAATAAGAAAAACAGCAATCTCATTTTATTTGGCAAGATAAGCCTTGCCATAGTCTCCCCTTCTCATTTCTGCATTTTCAGTTCACCAGATGAGCATTTGCCAGAATTTCTGTATATCGTTCAGTCAGTGCTCCTGGCCTGGTCACCAGGGAATGTATCATCTGAGTAAAAGAAGGAGGCTGGAGAGGGTATCCATGGGGAAAGCAGAATCCTATCAGAGGCATGTGGACACAAGTGAGTGTGTGCAGTGGCAACTTCAATGGCATGTAGTGGGCTCAGAGGCTCAGCTGCAAACCAGGAATTTCCCTCTTGAAACTTTCTTCCACCACAAGTTCACTCACTAAGTAGCTTTAGGCAAGCCATTCTCAGACTGAGTTTTCCACCTGCAATATCAGAAGAAAATACCTTCACCTACTTAACAGAGTGGATGATTGTAACATTACACCGAAATAATATATGTGAAGTGCTTTGAAGCATTAAAAGTTGCACTGAAATGATCAGAACCATTGAAATGATCAGAACCATTATCTTCACAAATCAATTGTACATACACTAGTTAATTAGTGTGGAATACTACTTAGTAAATAACTAAAAGAAGTGCTTTTAAAAATGATCATAAATCCCTCTCTCTATATATATTGTTTAATACAAAAGGAAGATACAGGATCAACAATTTCTTTCTGAAATTTTAGTAGGCACCATCAACTCACTTTCAAAACTAAAATCGCTGCTACACTATAAAAAGATAAAGGGCTATGCTATATGTTGATACAAATTCTGGTAGGAAAGCCCTAATGAACAAAAGTAGCTATGGAGGGAACAATTTTGCAGAGGAAAATCACTAAAAAGAATGTTTAGAGAAAGTTTGATTTTCTAAATCAAAATAGTTTGCAATTTGGGGTTTCTAACTCAAGGAAGATTATGCAATCATCAATTGAAAAATTACATAACACTTCCTAGCTAATTAGAAAGATAGATTACTAGCATGGACGTCCTTGTGTTGAGTGAATTGGTTGCGGCCAGTAGAGGTTGGCCCTTCCCTGTTGACAGTAACCATCTGAGAGAAAGTCAGTGAGCTTTGCCCCCTTATCAGGCAATCTGTCCCCCACAAGGACATTGGATTTCAGCTGTTCCTTGAACATTCCACTATTGATGATAAATACGAGTTGTGTTTGAAATGAAGACAAACCCTATTGAGTTTAAGTTGTTTCTGTTTATAGCCAGTTAAAAGCAGATTCTTTCATTATTGGTGGGTGTGATCAAGGGACAGTAAGAAACATGAAGGCTACTTCACAATTTCCTATCTAGAACTTAATTTCAGTACAGGAGGCCATATGAATCACCCACCAAGCAATGGAATCAGAACATGGTGCTTGTCAGAGCTATTAGCCAACACAACGAAACCAATCTCATCCTCAAAGAGACTATAGACTAATTTTAGACAACAGGGGTCAATGGAAGGAAAACATGATTCATAGGATGACTGAAATACCTATTTCAGTTATAATTCTGTGTATTTAAAAAATCCTATAGAACTAAAATTTTGAATTGAGGTAATTTGAATTTCTGTGCAAATAATGGCTGAATTTGCCTGCATCAATTATGTAAATAAAGATGATAATCTTGCATAATCCATAATCTCCTTTGTGCCTGCTAGTAAGGAGAGAAGGAAAATCATATGGCTGTAACTAGAAGTGACTACCATTTTGGATTTTCTTTGTCCATTTTCTGAATCATCAGTTTTGATACATGAATGTGTGTAGGGTATAAACCATGGGTCTTAAGTTAGCATATACAACCAGTTATAGATTATTCACCAAGCCAAAGTTAAGCAAACCATGACAGAGTGAAGTGTAAACTCTGTCAATGAGTGGTTGATCTTGCTGAGCAAATTTGACAGCGTGACTTTATTGCCCAAGATGGCAGCACTAGAACCAATGGATTAAAATTACAAGAAAGGAGATCAAGCTAGATGTCCGAAAGAGTTGTCAGATAGTGGATAGTTTTCTTTGGTAGAGGTCTTCAAACAGGCTGAATGGATATCTGTCAGAGGTGCAGGGGATCTTAGGGGGTTCTCAGGTCCCTTCCAATTCTATTATGCCATTAATCTATGAACATTTAAATATTTAATAATTTATTTATACTTAGTGCAATTAGATACAATTCTGTAAAGTAAGTTAATGTTCCAAATTTTAGAAATTACACTTCAGTGGGGCTAGATCAAAAAGCATAAGGATCCCAGAATGAATGACATCTTCTCCCTCACTGTCTCCTGATCTAGTGGACGGTGCTACCATTCACAGAAAAGATGGACCCTCCTAACTTGTCTTCATTCTACTGAGTTCTATGTTGCTAAATTTTCTCCTGCAATTCTGCCGCTTTTATGGACTAGAAGTATCAAGTATAATTTAGCAACTTAATTTCTTTTATGGACAGCTATTTGTCTGGAATGGGACAGCGTCTCCTGCTTGAGCAGAAGGTTGGAGTAGAAGACCTCCAAGGTCACTTCCAATTCTGTTATTCTATGTTGCTCCTAATGTAATCTGCTTGGAATTCTTAAATAGGTGGCATACAAATACAAGTACGTGACTGATTTTGGATAATCTTGTTTTAAACTTGAGCTGTGATTTCTAGCCATTTAATGGCTTGTCCCCTCACCCAGAAAAGAGCCAAACGCCTTATATTTACTGTCAGCAAACGTAAAGTGGTTATGAATTTACTATGAACACAAGAACCACTTGTGACAGGAACGTAAGGGTGGAGTCAGAGTGTCTTGTGCAGTTGCCAAAGAGGGGATTTATAGAGCCAAAACTTCACATGGGTTTTTTCCTCCTTCTTGAATGTCGAACTGTGGAAGTTGTTTTCAAGGTAAGGTTGGTGAAGCAGGCTGAAATCTGTGTGATCAGTGCAGAATAAAAAGGTGGTCTTTTAGCTGCAAGAAAACAAGAATGCAGTATAATATATCTGCAAAACTGTAGCCAAATATGATGATTAGCTGAAACATTTTTGCCTAGAACATGTAAACATGGGAAATATTGCTCTACGTTTTTAATTTTTTTAAAAAACTATGAATGGATGAAATACATGTTTAACCTAGAAATGCAAGTTTCTGTTCCACCCTGGGAGTTATTCTGTTTCATCCTTAGGGTTTCTCCATAGTTAATGCAGAAGGAAATATATTCTTCTTATTTACTGGATTTTTTTTTTAATTTGAATGTCACCCAGAACACTATTGTTATTTTGAATTATATATGGACAGAGAGAAATTGAATTGAATTGAAACAGAATGAAACGGAATGGAATAGAGTGGAATGGAGTAGAGTAGAGTAGAGTAGAACAGAACAGAACAGAACAGAACAGAACAGAATCTAGATAAGGGATTTGGGCATATACCAAAGTAGAGTTGCTTGTAAATGTTGGAAGCCCCACTTTCACACCTAAGGAATGTGAAACCTGAAAAAGTTTGTGAAAAGGTTTTCACAAACATCCCATTACAAAGAGTTATTTTTTCCCCTTAGAATTGTAGGATATAATAAGTATGGTACTATCAGTTCATAATGTTGTGGGACATGATGGTTGGTGAGAAAAGCAAATATTTCCATGTATGATGAATATAATCTTCATTACATAAGATTTTGTAAAGGAAAGTGATGGTTCTTCTTGCTGGTATTTTTTTCCCCTGTATCGAAGTAGATTGGCTTGTTTGCACGAGTCTTGGTATTTGCTGCAGAGCAGCATTTTAGTGGTGCTTTTTATTGTTTCTAAATATGATGGCCTACATGACAGCCTTGATGTTGTGATAAAAAACAGGGGAATGATTAAAGGAATTCTTCCAACTTTGGGTAAAATAACTTTTTGGACACTTTTGGAGATAGTCTTTCAAACATTTTCTATTATTAGACAGTTATGAATAAGAACCAGTCCATTTCTAGTGGAAAAGGGGGAAAGGTTCTATTCACTTCATCTTTTCCTCTCTCCCCTGAAATCCTCAACTTGATCCTTTTTTTTTTTAACCTGAATTTGAAAATAAAGCCAATTGCATGATCTTGATTTCAGGCTCACAAAAGTCCTTTTCCATTGTTTTGCTTTATGGTTCCCAAACTGGCTGAATATGTGTGAAAATATATCACTTCTTGTTCCAGATTTGCTCCAGCGACGAATAGAAGAGGAAAGGCAGACTTTTAAGAATGTTCTTCCTGAATCACTCAGAATAATATCATAACTAATTTTCTATGGCTGGCCAAAAATAATTGGGATCCCACAAGAAGGACAGGATAGCTCAGCTTTTTACAATCTATTGCCACCACAAATTGTTTGGATCACAGTCCCCATAATTCCCCACCAGCTTCATGGTGTTTGATCCCATCCAAGTTGGAGAAGGCTATTAGGTTACTTGCACAGCTCCATATTTTTAAAAACTGCAATTGAATAAGTGGCAAAATATTCAGAATGGCTGTGCTAAATTTTAATATGTGTAAAGGGATGGCAATGGCAGGAAGTGTTAGGTGCTCCTTTTTATCCCAGAGATGCACTGAAAATAGAGTCTTCCTTGCCACCTGGAGATATACAGTAAATTGTGCGGCATGTCATAGAGATTCAGTCACTTGCTCAAGCTATAAATAAATAAATGGGGATGTAATTTATATGAATCATAACTTGAGAATTCCTTAGGCTTCTAGACAAATTACTGTTATTATGATTATTAAATTGTATTTTATATAGTAGCAACAATTTTTACCAGTCAGAAAAATCTTGCGATATTGATACTCTCTTTCCAACTGTATTCCATTCCACATTAGGGCACCAAGTTTTCTTCCTTGGATTATTCCTATTTTGGCACAAATAGTTAGAAATATAGCATTGAAGTTGTTTGCCATGTTTTTCTTTGCTCCAAAATTCATACCAAACTTTAATCAATGAACAGAATGAAGAAGTAAAGTTTGTACTAATGCCAAACTATCTCATATTGGAAATTTCAATATTTATTTATTTGATTTCTAGAGCCACCACTTCAATAAGTGATTCTTTCAACAGGTCAATCTTTCATTAAATAACTCTATAACTAGAGAACATTCCCTCCAAATTCCACAAAAACAGCTTTCTGTTGTTTTTGCACTACTCTCAGATGAAAATTAAGAATAAGAAAAAGGAGATGCAAAGTTCACTGTAAATTTACTAGAAAAAGAACACTCATTTCACTTTGTGAAAATAACAAAGTTCTCATTGCCTCACTTTGCTTAATGATAGGGCCACCACCCAAACATTATTGCCCCAAAAGGAAGGCAATGGTATTTCCTCCTTGTTCACACAGTGCACAGAATTTTGCCCAATAAATTACATGCGCTGGTTTGTGAGATGAACTGTGATGTATCTATTTTTCTACCTGAGTCCTATTGGCAGGCCTAAGAATAGGTTCACATACAATAGACCTTCCCAGTGTTAGTGCATTTTCTGGGGTCAAACAATATGCTGAGTCACAAACTAACCCAAGAAATTGGGTTTGCATAACACAATCACCCACAAAAGCTCTAGTTAGGGTTAGGGTTAAAAGCTGCTGTCATTTACTTGACATTCATCTAGGTCACAAGAGGCAAGGAGTGTCCAGATTCCAGCAAGTATGAACGGATGAGCTCATGTAATACAATAGATAAAAAGTACTGCCTTCAAACAGAAGACATGTGTAATACAGAGGGTGGTTTGTGGCAATGTCATATCTCTCATCTGATTTACCTCACAGAATTGTCAAGGGCATAGAAAGGAATGATTTTCCACATGTCATTTGGAGCACCTTGGAGAAAATGGGAAGTGGGAAGAGTGGAGATTAAAAAGCAGTGAATAAGTAAACTTATTTTCTTATTGACAGGTAGCTCCTCCTCACCTGAGGAGGAGCCAAGAGGTACGGAGCCTGTGAAGCCACTCATCTCCCACAAAGCTTCCCATAATGTACGTTCCTAGGGCTTGTAGAGATTTGAGTTTGGTTGTGGTAATTTGTAAGCAGTTTCTAAGATATCAAGGATCCAGCAGTTAGAAACCCCTGGAGCGCTCTTTCTCTGAAGTAATCTTGAAAGCCCCAGTGGTGCAGAGATTGCTAAACAACTGTTTCTCTATGTAGGAAATAGATATATGTTCCCTAAGTAATTCTTATTTGATTCAAAGTGCCTGATGTAACCTTGCTTAAAGTTCAAAAGATCAAGTCAAATCTTTATCATGGCTGTAGATCAGCACAGAGATTCAAGAGAATGTGCAAAATGTAAATAGAACATATACAAAGACTTAAAACAATATAAAAATAATAAAGCTATAAAGCATCAAAAAAATATAGAAGCAGGCATAAAAAGCTGCCTAAGTATCTCTTTAAAAAATAAATTAGGGTGCTGCCTGATAATTTTATGGTGCATCTTGTCACTAGTTTCCATTTCTGTGTTCATCATAATGCCATCTATCTTCTTCCCGCAACCTATTCCTTGCACCCCAGGTCGATTAGAAATAACTACAATGCCTTTAATTGGAAGCGCTAGGAATTGTCTGTTTGCAAACTATAGTAATTGTACAATTTTAGTTAAAGGAATGGTATATGAAGGATCAATGACATTCCATTCCTCCTGATCAACCCCTTCTGCTTTTTAATAAATCTAAATGGTGGGAAAGCCATACATGGATTTCCTACACTATTTGTCATATCTCAGCTGCAAATATAGGTCTCTTTGAAACAAGGTGTATCATGCAGACAGATTTTACATTTGGGGAAAGGGTGCACTTCTACCATCACAAAAGCATTTTGTGAGTGGCCAAGAGCCCTCTGATTGTGGTAGAATATACATTTGAGTAATAAACAAAATCATAACTCCCTTGCTTGCTTTTGCAATCTTAAACCATATTAAAAACTACAATTTTCTCAAAAGAAAAGTACAGAACCTCAAAACTAATTCTATCTTTCTCCCACAAAACTGTAAGCATTGCCTCAAGGGACTCCGAAAAAATGTCCTCAAACTGAAAGTTTTAATGCAACAGAAGAAAAATATTAAATGCCCAAGAGAAAAAGTGTTTCTGATGACTATATTTTCTTTAAATAGCACAAACCAAGACTAAGATTGGAAATACTCAAACATAGTCATTCCTAGTGATTTCCAGGAATACACCAGGGAATGTAAGCCTATAGGTTACTTTGGGATATCAAAGACATCTCTGAGGAAAACAATGCAGTCACCTGCATATGGCCATTAAGAAAATTTGGCTAAAGTTTTAGTGAAATTTTATTTTAGTGAAAAGGAAATTAAACTTAGTGTTTTGCCTTGTTCCCATTGAGTACATTTTGGAGCATATCTCTTAGCACCTAACCCAAAACCTCAGCCTGCCAAAAATTGCACACGAATAAGGGATACACAGCACAGATTTTAGTGAGGTAGGAACAGCTTTCATGCAAGTAAGTACTTGGCAAGCTGAAGTGGCAATGAACTTATACAGCAGCCTTCCACCTCTCTTGCCCTCACATGTGGAAACTACAATTCCTAGAACTCACAATTATCAGAAAGATCCACATATCCACAGATCTGCAGCAATTTGGTGCAGAGGAAGGTTGCTATCTACTTTTTTTTTTCCTAAAAAGGGGATTTTTTTGTCACCACTGTTCCTTATGTCCTTAATGTCCTCATCAATGGGTAAAATTGTTGTATATCTCTCCCCAGTATATCCCAACCGTTAGAAATTTTGTCTGTTGAATTTCTGCAAGTTATGTCACTGTTACAGAGTACGGAAGGAAGGGTAAAATGGCAATTATTATGACATGTTTTTGCTATTCTCTTCAGTCATATGTGGAACTCCATGAGCTGGTCATGGACAAGAACAATGAGTTTCGCTGGATGGAAGCTTCTCACTGGATCAAACTGGAAGAGGACTTTGAGGAGATGGGGCATTGGGGGAGACCTCATCTTTCATACCTGACTTTTCAAAGCCTTCTGGAGGTGCGCAAGGCATTTAACAAAGGTGAGGAAAAGGATTGCAAGGATTGTACAGAACTTGGTTGGTTCTAAATAATGTGCTACAAAAGAAAAAGAAGGGTGCTTGCACTCACCCTTTCCATTGTCCAAATCCCAGTACATTAGGTACAGGATTGATATTCATATTTTAGCAATAAAATAAAATATTTGTAACTCAGAGTTGAACTGTGGGGTCCTTGATATTCTCTAATATTCTCTCTCTGAGCTTGGAGGCTTTCTTGTAGATATTTCATAACTAAACTAGGTAACATCATCAGTACATCAAGTAGCATTGATTATGTTACCTAGTTGGTTATGAAATGTGCAAGAAAACCACTAAGCTCAGAGAGCACCAAAGACCCCACCTTTCATATATGTATTGATGGACTTGTTCTTACCTGTTCTCTTGCCCCAGCAAATATTCTTAGAGTAATTTGGGAGACCCAAGTTTTCCAAAAGAAAAAAAAATTCTGACATTAAGAATAGGGTATGTAGAGGGGAGTAAATTGATACATTATATTTATATCTGTATCTATATCTATTGTATGCACATGCAAATCTACATTTATATCTATCTATTCATCTTATCTATCTCTTTTCATCTTTCAAATTTTGTAGCTTGAATGATTCTGGAATCTCTTTAACAACAGAAGTAACTGTGGCATTTATTTTAGGGAAAGGTTCCCAATTTTCTTTTTGATATACTTCATAAAGATAATAAATGTCTCTTTTGGAATGGTAAGCAAATATCTCTTCCAATGATCAAAAATGTTCCTTTGGGATGATCCCCCTATTTCTGCATTTCTAGGAACTGTCCTTCTAGATTTGCAAGAACGAAGTCTAGCTGGGATTGCCAATCAGGTGCTTTCCCAAATGACCAATGAAGGAAAACTCAAGCCTGATGACCAAGAGGTGCTTTTAAGAACTCTTCTACTTCAGCACAGGTATTGGCAAGGGCAAATATGAAAGATGACATTTTTCCACTCAAAGAATGAATGGGACAGCCAAGAAAAATGGGCCCCAATTGATATCTAGTTCTTTCTGGATCAGGCACATTCTATAAATTAAGCTAGTGACAGATAAGGGTATTGAGAAAAGCATAAGATAAGACCTGCTCCCCTGCAGTAGCTGCCAATGCAGATTTTTTTGGATTTCATTCCAAGATCTGGGTAAATCCTGTAAAGATCCTGGTCTGCCATCCAAGATCAGGAGCAGTGTCATACTTAACCTATGGATATGGCATTCAGGAATAATGGAACATGCAAGGAATTGTTTTGTGTCTACTAGCCTATATGAGCCCAGTGTTTCCATTTCTTTGGGACAGTGCAAAGAAGGGTATCATGATGATAATGGGGCTGGAAATTAAGTCTGCTGAAGAGACATAATAGAACTGGACGGTTTTACTTTTGAGAAGTTATGACTAAAAATACAATAGCATTTGCCAAGTTCCTGAAGGAGTGTAATACAGATCAAGACCTGTCCTATATGGTCAGAATTCAGAGCATGAAGAGCTCATATAGGAAGGTCAATTTAGATTGAATATAAAGGAAACTTTTGTAATACAAAAACAGTTCAGTAGTAGAACTATGAATAGGGGAAGTAGTGATGTTTTCAGAGACTTTCAGCCAACTGTTGGGGATACTTTCATCTGGAATCTCACAATGACCAAGGACTAATGATCTCTTCTAACTCAATGAATTCTTAATTCTAGATAGAACTTTAAAGTCTGTGAACCAGAAGTTACTGTGAAACTATTTAGACTTTCGTTCAACTCTTTTTTGTGTAGATGTTTGTGGTTTTTGTTACAAATGCAGTGTCTATATTTTTCAAATTTCAAAATAAATACACTTAACATTGAACTTTTCTTAAGGGAAAAAATAGAATGAAATAACTGGCTATTTTAGTAACCAGAAAATGCAGAGAGTAAATAAAGTTGAAAAATTGAGAAATCCTTTCTGCCAGAGAAATAGGGTTTTAAAAATGAGTTGTTGCCTTCTGCCAGAAGGACGGTTTTATTTATTTATTTATTTGTTTGTTTGTTTGTTTGTTAACCTAATATGCCACCCTCTCACCTTACATAATAAGTTTTTGTTTTATTCAGAAAGTTAAAATACAAACTTCAAAAAGAAGAAAACAATTAGAAAGACAAAACAAAACTAGACAAAACATTTTTTTAAAAAGTGCATAAGAACACATATAAGAACACATATACATATGTTTTCCTCCCTAATTGAATACTGATAGATATATTACATGGTTCCACCCCTTACAAAACAGAAAATTGAAACAGAAAATTGTTGTTTCTCAACAATTGCATCTCATTCCCCAAAGCCATAAGCCCTCCTATAGATTAGATAGTCATAAACAATTTTCAAAGACAGAAGAAGCAGCATAACAAAGGACCTCAGATGATGTTGAGAAAATCTTTCCAACAAAAAAAAAAAAAGAGGAAAAAAACATCCTGAAGACCTAGGCATTAACTTTTTACTGTTGCATTCTTATTTTTTTTCCTCTTCATTGCATCTCATTTTTTTTTATTCTTTGCTCAGTCACCCTAATGAATCAACTTCATTAAACACTCTCTTGCCTGCGCGGGTACAACAAACAGATGCCAAAGACTCAACCCAACCACTGCTTCAAGAACATCACCAAATAGAGATGAAGACCTTTTTTAATGGCTCAGAGCAGGTAAGTTAACCTTGTAGTAAATAAAAGGGAGAACATTTTGTGACTACAGTGCCACAAGTACTACAGTTTTCCCCATCTAAATGTAGAATTGTATTCAGACTTCAGTTGTCCTCAGACTTAAAAGAGAACCAAGTAAGCAAAGCAACATTATAAAGCAAAGCATTATGACTGGTAGAAGTATTAAATCAATGGATTGGCCAGATTTGGTATGGCTACTCAAGAATTTGAACAAAGATTGTCATCTTTTGATTCCTCACTTCAGATGAAGTATGTATTCTATACATTACTCTTTAAAATAAGACCAAGAAGAAAATCCATCATCATAGCCTATATTGAGAATCTCTTTCTCTTCTGTTATTACATAGTGAATGTCTACATAATTTAAGTAGACTATCTTAATCTTAATTATTTGATCTTAAGGCAGCTACATGGCAGTCAAGTCAATGCATCTGATGCTGGGTCCTAAGTTGTACTAAGTTTTACAATGCTCAACAGAGCTCCATAATTTGACTTGCTAACGTACCAGCAACCAATGCAGCAATACAGCATGAAACCTGTAATTCAAAATCAGTAGCTCCCTTCAACAGCCCATTTATAATATTTTGTAGAATTGCAAATTCAGGAAGTTCTACATACAGCACATTGCAATGTCCACCCATTACTGGAATACATGAGGGCAGAATGGAACCTTGAAGAGCCTCACTACTTAATCACTATGAGGACAAAGTATAGTGACCAAAAGGCATTTTTGAGTACAAACCTTTAGTAAAAATGGAGCTCCTGAGCTATTGTGCTCTGGATTCCCAACCCACAGAGCTAGTTTAGAAGGGTATCATTATCAAGAATATCAAAAGCTGCCAAGAAATCAAGGAGAGCTAGGCATGTTGTCTTTCTTTTGGTAAAAGTCATCAGTCAAAACACTCAAGGCTAACTCAGTTCAAGACTTAATACATATTGAAATAGGCTTTCTTTCAGGAGCAGCTACAGCTGTACTATCTTAAGAGTCATTTATAAGAAAATGTCTAATTTTCTTAAATTCAGAGTGCAATCTCCAAGGTGTTTTCTTTTTGCAGGGAGAGTCAAGTCATAGTGATTTTAAGAAGCAGCTGTTAGATAAGATTCCTTCTGATGCAGAAGCCACTCTGGGATTGGTTGGTAAGTATCTTCTATGTTCAAGTGTAAAAGGGATCCTGTTATAGAAAATGTGGACTTCTAGAGTAGTGTGAGAACAGCTGTGTTGAATGTCATATTTCATTTCTTGGCTTCTCCAGATAAGATTTCAGATAAGATCTTGAAGAATTGCTGCAATGACTTCAGAATATATGCTAGACTTTGAAACTGATGCACAGGTGCTACAATACACCAGAGAATCATTCAAACATTTCCAGCCTTGTTTGGCCACAATGTTCATATGGATGCCAAGAAATGGGTGGATGTTGTTGTTGTTGTTAGTTGCGAAGTCGTGTCCGACCCATCACGACCCCATGGACAACGTTCCTCCAGGTCTTCCTGTCCTCTACCATCTTCTGGAGTCCATTTAAGCTCACGCCTACTGCTTCAGTGACTCCATCCGCCACCTCATTCTCTGTCGTCCCCTTCTTCTATTGCCCTCAATCTTTCCCAGCATTAGGCCCTTCTCCAGTGAGTCCTTTCTTCTCATTAGGTGGCCAAAGTATTTGAGTTTCAACTTCAGGATCTGCCCTTCTAAAGAGCAGTCGGGGTTGATCTCTTCTAGGACTGACTGGTTTGAACGCCTTGCAATCCAAGGGACTCGCAGGAGTCTTTACCAGCACCATAGTTCAAAGGCCTCAATTCTTTGTCGCTCAGCCTTTCTTATGGTCCAACTTTCACATCCATACATTGCAACTGGGAAAACCATGGCCTTGACTATACGCGCTTTTGTTGGCAGAGTGATGTCTCTGCTTTTTAGTATGCTGTCTAGATTTGCCATAGCTTTCCTCCCCAGGAGCAAGCGTCTTTTAATTTCTTGGCTGCAGTCCCCATCTGAAATGGATATATAGATAGATATGGGGTGGACTTGTAGAAAATAAAACCATGCTGAAAAATGTTATAAGCATAACTATTACATGAGAAAAGCTACTACTTTTATAAGCATTATTAGTATCTCTTACAGGGAATATTCATTGTTATATTATCTGATGTTAAAAGGGTCTATTTTATTGGCAACAAGTAAAGCTATTACAAATTCCTGGAAAAATTTCATAGGATTGAAAGTCACATATTAGTAAGATAGAATATGGGTGATGGCATGAGCAGAAAATCTGATAGGGTAAATTTGGCCAGCAAAAAGTACAGTAAATAAAGCTCAGTGGTGATCCAGATTCAAAGGGAAATGGTAATATGCACCATGCAGGGACTGTTGGCACCTCTTTAAACCAAAGACTTTTTTTGTTGGGATCATAAAACAGCACCCTTACAGGCAATCCAAGAAAAGATACCACTTCTTTAAGGAACTTTTTCTCCTTCAAATCTAGATTACTGCACAGCCCTAAAAATTAATAAAAATCATTCTAATAAATTTGACTAGGGTTAGGGTTAGGGTTAGGGTTAGGGTTAGGGTTAAGAAATATTTATTAATCCAAAATGTTATTGAAAAATATGGGAAACAAAACTGGATGTGCTTTGCATAGGCCTAAAAAATCTATGTGTTATAATCCATTGCATGCATGCACTGTATGGATGTTTCTAAATAGATAGATAGATACAAGGTATTATTTTTTGTCCTGTTTTTTATTTTGTTTGTATTAAAATATACTTAAAAGATATGCTGGAATTAGGTCCACCATTTCGCTGGTCTGTTCATAATTCTATATATGATACTTTACAGAGCCATTGAAGTAGGCTTATTTTAATAATTTTAAATCTTAATGTTATTTTAATTATTTTAATGCAGTATGAACCACAGCTTTATCTGTTGACATTAGCTGTGATGCAATTTTCAATTTGATCTATTGATTCCTACATTTCAAGCAATTCCAAAACAGAGATATCTCTTTCTTTTCCTGGCCAGTTTTCAACACCTTATTGAGCACATATTAGAATATATTCTGTTTTATTCCTTAACTTCTTAATGTACGGCTTCTCAACTTACTAGAGTTATCATATCTGGACTACAAAACCATCTAGAGATGAAAGAGAGAGTTTTCTGTACCTTGTTGCTGCCATCTAACATTTATCTAGATTTCCACAGCTCAGATAGGGTAATTCAATTCAATCACCACTACTACGGTATCTAATCTATAAGTTTGGGTTTCCAACTTTCTTGTATCTACATTGTTCAAAAACAGTCAAAATCAGCCTTCCCCAAACAGTTCTTTTTTTATATCAGCCCCCATCAATTTTTATCAGAAATTGAAATCTAATACAAAAATGGACACCAAGTTGTGAAAGCAGATCTAAGGGCAAGACAGTCTAGGTTCACTTTATATAGAGATCTATATGAATCTGCAGATGTACAACTCAGGAGATAATGAGGAATGGGTCACTACGACAAAGCAATTGACTCAGCCCTGCATAGAAACCAGAATCTATAGGAAGTGATCAATCCACCTAGACAGAGTTAATCAGGAAATGAAAGACAAAGCTGTCCTTATTCCAAGTTTTTGCCTTGGAAGGAAGAGTCTAACGAAATTTGGCAGATATGAAAAGTACTCTGACTTGCTTCCAAGGTCTCTAAATAAAAAGAGAAGGAATAATATATTTGATTTCAGAACCTACATTCCCTTAGTACTTCACATCAGTATATTTCAACCTTAACTTGTCCATTCTCTTACCAGCATGGGGGATTCTGGGAATTGAAGTCCATACATCTTGATGTTACCAAGGTTAAGAAACACTGGTTTCTTCAACCACAATGACTCTTAAATAATTTCTTTCCTCCCAGCTACATTTTTCTTCTTACTTCCTTTCTTTTGTCTTTTAAAGCAGAATGATTTATGTATTATGTACATAACTGAAGTATTAATAAGTGGGAAATTCTGAAACTGTTAAATTGCCATAGTGTAACATTGCTGCCACACTACCTAATTGTAGAATCAGTACTATGAATGTATGCTAATCTTAAAAAAATTGGGAAATGGGAATCTACTTGCTGATTCTTGCTTTCTTGTGCATTCGGGTCAGGAAGAAGCATATTTGTCTTTGGCGGGAACTATGCTTTGCTTCTCTATCCAGCTTATCAAACCCTGATTGCAAACTTTGCTCACTTTGCTGTCTCCCCTTCTCTTCCCTTGTTCCCGTCTCTTCCACCCTTTTGCCTCTGCTTGGATTCTTTTCATTTTTGCCCACATTTTCTCTCTTGCTGTTTCTCTTTGTGCCAAAGCCCCTAAACTATGTCCCATGCCCATCCATCCTCCCTTCAGGCTGTGCCACCTTCCTGGACCGACCTACTCTGGCCTTTGTACGCTTGAAGGAAGCGGTGGAGCTGGACTCTGTCCTGGAGGTTCCTGTCCCTGTCAGGTTCCTTTTTGTGGTTCTGGGCCCTGATTCCCCCCACATTAGCTACCACGAAATCGGGAGAGCCATCTCAACTATGATGTCCGAGAGGGTAAGTTGGTTTGCCTTTATTCATTCAGGGGGCCTGAGGAAATAATGGTATATCCTGCTTTCAGAAAATATTACTAGGTGAGTATTCAACAGTAAAAACCCCATGTGAATAAGCTGAGGGCTAGGCTGAAAGTTTCCTCTGACAGTTTCTGAGATGGAGCAGTTCAGTACATGCCCACTATAATTCTGATGTTGAGGAAATGGCTTCCTGACAAGAGAAAAAAGAAATCAAGTGGCACCAGAATCAAAGTTATAAAAACTGGTATGACAATAAAGACCCAAAAGACTTCCCTTCTGTTCCATCAACATGAATGCCCAGAATGAGATTGAATTATTTGAGGGATCATTATAATGACTAGAATTTTATACGGTATTAGGCATAGAAAATGAGAGGCCTGGCGAGGTTTCTCCAACCAGCAGGTGGAGCAGTAAGGCTTATTAAAAGATAGGGGCATCGTTAATTGCATAGACAAGATTAATTCTTCTTTCTCTGCAGTCTGTTCAGAATGTCAGAACCCCACCCAGTTACTGGTCCTGGAAAAGAAATACCATGGCCTTTTAAGTGGCTAATTGTTTCCTGAGGTGGCAACTTCCATGGATAAAAGTATCTGGGAAGTGTGTCTTTGGCCTTGGCCTCTTGGTTCTCACTTTCTCTTCCGTGCCATGCAAGATCTATTCTAGAGGGTACTGAAGCCATTAGGTCGACAGAAGTTCCCTATCACTGAAAACTCTTGGCAAAGCATTTCCAAATATTTGACGATATAGGCAAAAAATGGGCAGCTTCCAACAAAGACATTTCAGGGCATGTAGTTTTAATAGCAAAATCATTTTATTTTTAAAGTTTGTCTTAGTAAAGACTTGTGGACATTTATTTTTCAGTTTCATTGGTTTTAACGTCTAGAATTGCCTACATTCACTGATTCATTTTAATCTGCTAGAGAGGCATATTTCAGGTAAATCTAATTCAACTCTTCACTAAAATATATAGAGTTAACAAGTAACTTAAAATTAATTGTTTGTGGGAAGTTGGACCTGTCCCCCTTATCTAAATCACCAGTAGAGAGCACTGCTTCACAAAGAGTGGAGAAACCGGCTGTGAAAATGAGCCCACCCCATTCCTGCCCAGTGCCTCCCTGAGCACCGTCTTATTTTCTTTCTCGGAGTAGGTATTTCGCAATGACTCCTATTTGGCAGAAGGAAGACAGGACTTGATAAAGAGTCTGGATGAGTTCCTAGATTGTTGCATTGTCCTCCCACCCTCTGAGATCCAAAATGAAAGACTTCTCAAAATGTTGCTGCCAGTGCAGAAGGATTTCCTAAGGAAGAGGTACCTCCCAGTGGAGAAGAAACTGGAAGAGTCACTAAAAGACCTAGGTATGGTTAGACATGGCTATGGTTCAGTGTAGGAGGATAATTTAGCCCAGTGTTTCTCAATCTCAGCAACTCTAAGACCTGTGGTTTTTCAATTCACAGGATTCTCTAGCCTGTTCATAGGATCCAGACATCTTAGAATTGCTGAGGTTGAGAAACACTGATTTAGCCTGCAGTTCTGTGCTTGAGTCAGGCATAGAGAACTCAGTATGATTTCTTCTAAGGAGACAGGGGTAAGCTTATACTATTAGCTTATGCAAGAAGGACTAAAGGGGTCCTTATTTTAGTTTGTTTTTAAGATGGAAACTTGCTCAGAAATTAGTCTGGAAGATGTCCTGTCTCACATTTATGACGGATGTGAGGCGATAGCTTGATTTTACCTAGTAAAATAAGGAATGTGTATAATTGTATCAAAAAACCACAGACTTTGGCACTGAATATTGAATTCAGCCTCCTGATTCAGACCAGGCCTCCCTGTAACAAACTTTCAAAAAATGTTCTGCCTTTTTTAAAATGTATTTATTTATTTAATTTATGTTCTACCACAATCCCAAAGAGCTCTTGGCAGTTTTGCAAGGTTTTTTTTTTTTTTTTTTTGCCTCTTTCTTTTTTGTGCCATTAAATGAGTCTTGGCTTCTGGAAACCGCCTGGACAAGTTCATGCAGTTTTCTTGCCAACATTTTTCAGAGGTGGTAGTCCAACTGGCTTTGTGCCTAAGACAGGACTAGAATTCACAGTCTCCAGGTTTCTAAGTGTGGTCCAAACCAGCTCTCTTTATTTGAGTAAACAACCACTAAAACATTTGTGGTTAGTTTTAGAACAAGAACAGCGTCTTAAAAACACACACAAAAATATACAAATATATATATACACATACATACATACATACATACATACATACATACATACATACATACATACATACGTATGTATATATATGTATATATATAAACAGGCATCATCCCAAACACTCTCCAGAGGAGCTCCAGTTTCAATTGCTTCTAACAGGCAGTTATAGTCAGTGTGAACCTAAATTCTAGTTGGAGGTAATTTCAGAGGCCTTGCTACACAAAAGCAATGCCTCCAAACCTCAGCCACAGGTTCAATCCTGTGTGTGGAATGCAACAAGAAAATTTACACATAAAATGGGACAGAGAGAAAGACTGCATTGCCAGTATTCAGAAAAATGGGGATTTTTTTCTTCTTGTAAATGGCTTTGCAGAAAATAATTATGCAAACCAGAGAAAGAGACATACATTAAAATTTGGAGTGTTTGTAGGCTTGTTTAATCTTAGCAGCCCTTTTGGTAAAATGCTTTTTTGACTTAATGATGTGGGATGGAGGAGGGGTGACTTTTAAATGGCAATGATTATTGCTTCAAAATGCAGGCCAGCTTCACTATCATATTTGCCCTGCTTAGCCAGCCAATTCTCTCCCAAAACAGAGTCAGCTATAAGGTTGAGGAAAATTCAGTTACATTAAAATGGTGTGGCCACAACTGGATGACTGCAGCTTTGCCTCTTTTTATATGTATGTACTATAATGTGTATAATGCACATTAAAAAGGGATGGGGCTTCAATCACCTGACCCTGCCTCATACTGACAACCTCAAAACTCCCCCCCCCCTTCATTAGACACCATTATCTCATAATCTATCCAGATAACTCAGCCGGGAGCTCCTCTGCTGTTAAAGTTTCATATTATACAGGGCATCCTTCATGATTATGAATGAAATAACTCCAGAGATCACCAATATCCATAAAAAGTGGACATTCACATTCGAAGAGGGTACTCCCTCTGAAAACCTCCCCTTTTCTTCTCATGCAGGGCACAAATTGAAAGACCACGAAGTCAAAGCAGAAGATTCTGATGATTCCTTGCGCCGAACTGGAAGGATTTTTGGGGGGGTAGTGAAAGACATAAAACGTCGGTACCCCAAGTATCTCAGTGACATCAAGGATGCTCTGAACCCACAATGCCTGGCTGCAGTCATCTTCATCTATTTTGCTGCCCTTTCTCCTGCCATTACTTTTGGAGGCCTGCTTGGTAAGAGAAATTAGCAGCACATTGATACATGATCACATAATAAAGATCAGGAGGATGGTACTTTAAAAAAAATGCTCTGGAATTGATTTTCTGCTGGGCCAGACAGACAACCAATAAGAAGTGGTATGTTTTCAAACGGGAGTGCTTCAGATGGTTTAGGACTATAATTTCTCACCAGTATTGCTAGCACAAATTTTCTAATAAAATACTATGTGCTTATTCATTTATTTTTTCCAAGTCTGGTGATAAAAATAAAAATTAAAAACAATAAGAATAGAGTTATTAGATTTCTGAAGAGGCAAAGAAGGGTAGAGACATTTGGAAAAGAGGAGATATGGAAGGGGGAAGAAATACACTAACTATTGAACCTTCATGGTGTCTGCAACAAAACTTCCAGCAAAAATGTATTTAAGCTTATATTATATGAAATTACTTTTCCCTTCGGTTTCAGAAAAACTAGCTTCAGAAGTTTTTCAGTCACAATATTTTCCAAAAATCTTTATTTTTAGGAACTTATGCTAGCAATACTATAGAATCAATGATACAATGATACAGTCCACAGTAGAAATATATGATGAGTCGTGTTATACAGTGATCATAGATTTGAAGGGGTTGAATTGAAGATGATTGCTGGAATTGCAAAATTTAATTTAAGAACATAGAGCTAGGTTATTGAATCTATCAAAGGGCGAGGGATGAAAGGAGCAGACAGTTTACAAGATCTCAATACATAAAAGTTGTAATGATGACTATTGTGAAAACAGTCCAAAATTATTTTTTAAAAAACCAAGATACTCAAAAGCCAGACAATATTTAATTATATGCTTATCAGACAGAAGACATGTCCTTCTTTTACTTGACACTTGGAAGCCCTAAGGAAGTCTTGCTAAAGGCCAATTCATTCATTCATGGTAAAATACATACATGCTAAAATACAATTATGCCTAAAATGCTTACACAAAAAAGCAAATAGTGTGGAGAATGGAAATATGTATTCTGTACTATCAAGACTTATGCAATGCTATAGTGTTATAATATTGTAGTTTTCAACCCTGTAACTTTTATTTAATTATTCTTGGAGAGGGTCAAAGGGAATTTATGTATTGCCCCAAATACATAAAAGCCACAAATAAGTTTTTGAATTTATTCATTTATAACCAATTCACCCTCAGTCACTTTGGGCAGTTTACACAAATTATAATCTAACATCAAAAACAATAAAAAAGCAATAACCTCCCACATTCCTGGTGGCAACAATCAAACAAGCCACTTGATGGGATCCATCCCTCTCTGAGGCTCCCCAGTCTGTTGGCAAAATCAGCTCTTTAGAGCCTTGTGAAAGAGTGTCAAAGTGGGTGCCAATCTTAACTTCATAGGGAGGGAGCATCACAGAGAAGTCCCTTCTTGGTCCCACTAGATGGAGTTCTTTAAGAGATGTTCTCTGCTTTCCCTCTGCCTTCCCACTTTAGTGGATTGGGTAGATGTTACCAGGAAAAAACAGTCCTTCTAATAATCTGGCTATGTAGGGCTTTGAAGGTGACAACTAGTAACTTAAATTAGACCAGGAAGACAAATTGGCAGCCAATGCAGTTCCCGTAGGACAGATGATAAATGTGCGCATTTAGGCCTGTCCAAATGCTTTTCAGAGGCAGTCCCATGTAAAGTACATTGCAATAGTCAAGATGGGAGGTGAGTCAAGACTAAGGTATGAATGATTGTGAGCAGGAATTATTGGTCAAGGAAGGAGTGCAGTTGGTATACAAAAGCCCTTCTGGTCACAACTATGACCTGCTTCTCAAGCAGGAGTGTAGAGTCCAGAAAAACCCTCAGATTATGCATTGGGTATGTCTGGGACAGTGCCACCCCATTCAAGACTAGAAATGGCAATGATCCATGGATCAAACCCATATTATAACCCATATTATAAGGGTTCACTTTCAGCCTATTGCTCCCCATCCAGGCCTTAACAGCCTATAAGCACTGCAAGAGAGAGGTAATGGTATTGCTTAACTCACCATGGGCCAAGATATATAGCTGGCTGTCATCAGCATATTGATGATATCTCAGCCCATGATGATGGATGATCTCACCCAGCAGCTTCATGTAGATGTTAAATAGAAGTGGAGAAAGTATCTAGCCCTCTAGGACACATATATAATGTGTGCATTGCATGTTAAAAAGGGTTAAGGGTTTGACAGCTCTCCCAGGCAAACCAGACAGGAAATATGACTAGATGAGCTAATACTACTTTATTGTAAGGCTGCATTAACAGAATCTTGAAAGACTGAAAGTACAGATCTCTTATTTTCTCTTTTCACAGCCTGATCAAGGTAGGTCCTTCCTAAGTTTTTTTCTCTGTCTATTAAACAGTAAACGATCTTGCCTGATCATTTCCTAGGCAGCATCTCTTTCCCTTTATCCTCAAGGTCATCCCCCACATACCATTATAGCTTTGATCACCTGGTCATACCTGCCATTAATACATAACCAGTCCTTGATAAATCTAGAGATCTCAACCACATCACTGGGCACTTCTACACACCCCTTTATTTCTAACAATCAAACACTCTTGGCAGTTTCAGAAAAGCCTGTGAACATCCCCATGCAGCCATTGCAGGAACGACAATTGAATCAAGCTTTGCTCTCTCCCATACTAAAAATGGCTGCCAGCCCAGACTACTCTTCCTTTCCTATCCTTTTCAGCTGCTTCCTAAAGTGTATAACCTGAAAAATAAATAAATGTGAATGATCTGTATAGGCTAGCCCAGTTTTCTCACTCGTGGTAACTTTAAGATTTGTGAATTTCAACTTCCAGAATTCCCCAACCAGGACAGCTGGCTAGAGAATTCTGGGAATTGAAGTCTTACCTACCTTAAAATTGAAAAGGCTGAGAAACACTGGCTAAAGTTAGGAGGAGAGGTTTATTTCTCCAATGAGAGTGGAAAGTAGCATGAAAAGTTTTTTATGAAGTATTTGTTCAATGTGATTTCATGTCCTACTAAGAAATTTTTGTATTGAAAAACATACTTCAGTTGTGAGAAATATGCATTCAGCTGTGAAAAAGATAGTCACAAATCCTAAGACGTATGGATCTCTGATTCCTGGACAATGGAGAAGGGGGACAAAAGAAGGCCTGGGCTTGTCCTATTTTTGCTAATTGTTTCCTGTTCTTTTCAGCTGAAAAGACAGAGCGCCTGATAGGAGTCTCTGAGCTTCTACTCTCTACCGCAGTTCAGAGTGGACTCTTTTGCTTGCTGGGAGCTCAGCCTCTGCTTGTTGTGGGATTCTCTGGCCCCCTTTTGGTCTTTGAAGAAGCTTTTTATACAGTAAGTGTCCTGCTAGAAATCACTATGACTTGTTGAAAGGAAAGTTACACAAGGGAGCAAATGGATTTGATTGACTTAAACCATAATGTAGTTTATCTGACCATAGTTTGTATGATTCCATCAATTGTCGCTTTGCAAATAATAGTTTAGTGTGCTGTGAGTGCTCAGCAAATAATGTGCCACAATGAAAAGAATCCCGGGGAAAACCCCTGGACTACTGCAACCCGTGGCAGACCCTTCTCAACCATGGGAAGAAATAGCTATGGACTTTATAGTAGACCTACCTTAGCAACTATGGCTAAGCAATCCATAGTGATGGTCATTTGCATAAATTATTATAAAGCAATAGACAATTTTGGAAATTAATAGGCAGTTTATGGCTATAAGTTATAAGATGAAACAATGTCCATGTGTACGGGTAGTAAATCTCCCATTTCTAAGTGCTGGAGAGAGCAATAAAGAAGTTTTTTAGCTGACTTCTAATCAGGCAATGTTTCATTTAATAAAATTATTCCTATGTTATTAGGAATATTCCAGATAATGCTTGCTCAGTCTTATTTCCATAGCAATAGAATATTGTGCCTTTTCCAATCTGATAACTAAACATATTCAGGTTAAACTCCCAGAATAATCAACTAATGCAGTGGTTCCCAACCTTTTTTTATACCCTGCACCCCTAGAACGCTTCTGGTATAGTCTCGCACCCCTTACAAAAGTTCAAAATAACAGCAATGAATTATGCATACACACTATAATTTTGAAAGCCCAAGTTTTCGCACCCCCTGGAATATCATCTCGCACCTCCAGGGGGTGCAAGCACCCCTGGTTGGGAACCCCTGAACTAGTGTAACAAAGACTGTGGAATTGAAGTACTGTACATTTATAGGAAAGCATTATGAAATGCTATAACAATAAAACAAATATGAAGACAAATTTAGTTTTCAGGTATCTCCCCACAGATATTAAATCTGAACTTTCATCACTGTGATCATAAGCTTGAAAAATTTGCATAGGCCATTTTTCCATATCATTATATAAGTGTTCAAAACCAAATCCCCAATTCCCAACTAGCCAACACAGAAGTTTCATAAGATGTTGACCTGGAAAGGCTAATAGGGTTCAGATATCTGTTTTATTAAAGTGAAAGTACAAATGAAGGAGGGGAAAATAGCATTTCAGTTATATTATCTATGAATTCTTCTTTACCTTCCTCACCCCCATCCTCTTTTCTATCCATATAGTTTTGTACGAAAAATAACATTGAATACATTGTGGGGAGAGTCTGGATTGGCTTTTGGCTGATACTGATAGTGATAGTGGTAGTGGCTTTTGAGGGCAGCTTCCTGGTGCGTTACATCTCTCGCTATACTCAGGAGATCTTCTCAATTCTCATCTCCCTCATCTTCATCCTGGAAACCTTCTTCAAACTCATCAAGGTAATGTGACTTATTGTGTTTGTGCTTTCTGTATTGTTGCATGACAGAGGGTTTTGCATGACAGAGGGCAATCTTCTCCAAATATGTGTATTCCATTTTGTGACGACAATTCCCAGAATTTCTATTCATTGGCTAGGTAGTTGGAATTTGGGGATATTTTGATGACATTACAGTAATAAGGCAATAGTTCTTCCAAATCTATGAAAGAGGTATCAAAATTTATCTGCTGTAATGTCATGCCTGCTTGAGGTAAGGCTGACTGCCAAGTGAGGCACTAAGTTTCTTTCTCTTCGTTGTGTCACTTATTCCTTATGCTGGAATGGTAGGCATTATTTTGAAGTAGATTTGGGGTCCCTAGTTCTAAGCAGTCCCTAGTCCTTTGTAAATATTATCTTTTTTGTTCTAGAATTCTTTAGGTTCTCAACAAATTAGAGACATTCTAGCCAAAATTAAAAGAAAGTCCTGGTTACTTTTGCCTCCTCTCAACTTCTCCATGCATTTGCCCAATCACGTTGTGTTATGGCCACACATATGTCACTGTTTAGCTTGTGTATCACACTTCAGGTCATATATGTTCTCTTATAGCAACTCTTATGACTTGACAAGAACATGTGTGTTAGTTGTATAGTCTGCATTTCCAATGTCACATATCCAGGGTGTCTTGCTATCCATGTCATGGTCATGGATTACAAGATGAATAAACGATTAACCTTCATCTGATTTCCAATTTTATTACTTTTAGGCAAATTTTGAAGCAGTGTGTATTTTAACAGACTCAATATTTATTTCTGCTTCTCCTTTTTTACCTGCCTTCAGTAACTACTCTGTTGCAAAAAAAAATTAATTACTTCTTCCAATGATAAATGCAGTTTAAAATTCTCTGAATATTTAAAAAGCAGAAGAATGAGTAAAAATTACATAAACTACTAAATGTTCTTATAAAATGGGACAAAGAAAAGTGTGTCTTTTCCATGGCTGCCCATATTGTATGGGACACCCTCTCCCCAGTTATTTGGCAGGTCCCCATCCCTTTAGCCCTTTGGAAGACCATCCTCACCCAGGTGCTGGATAAAGTGAGAATGTCTGAAGTTGGTTCTGGGGCATCCCAAAGGGATGACAGAGACTCTGGTTTTGTTTTGGTTTTATGATTTGATGTTTGTGGTTTTTATAGTTCTGGGTTTTGTTATTGTTGTAAATCATCCAGAGTAGTGTTTTTGAAAGGTAACCAAGCAAATACTTTACGTAAATAAATACCAACATTATAGCAATGTTTTAAGATAAAAGTAAAAAAATATTCTGATAGCAGAGGTATATAATACATGGTCCAATGGTGGTTTAAAAAGAACCTGTGCGTATTTATTTAATCTTTTGTCAATCCATCAGTCTGCAGGAATTTCGGTCCTTTCATATACTCAGTAAATGTTCTTGAGTAAATCATCAAACCTGCTTTATACATCTGTAAAAATGGCATCAACTATGACAGGATTTCTAAGGGAGAGCAAACAAGCTGCAACTAAAAAGTGATGAGTTTGAGATTACAATGGGGTAATCATTGTAATTACCATGCCTGCCATAGTAAATATTTTATAGTGTAGCTGTGATGGTACTTATTCCCCATGACATCCCAGTCAATTTTATTCCATTTTACAAATGGAAAAGTCAAGATTAAAAAAGTCAGGCCTCCCAATATATCTTTGTGACTTATACTTTTGCATGGATGTTCTGTTAACATCAAGCTGCTGGAACATATATCATGATTACAGTATGTTATTTTGCCTCAAGTTTTAAAACTGTTTACGTTTTGCCATAGTCTCCTTCCTCTTATCCTCACTATTGTATGATTACTGTTATTAATAATGGTCTTAGAGGATCTGCTTCTGAAATTTTGTAAAATTGCTTCAGAGATCTGCCTGTCTACTCCTTGCCCAGCTCACTCCCCAGAACAAGCTAGTCCAGGAAGTAACACTCCCAAGATATGGTTTCCATAGAAACTAAGGAGCAGGAAGGATTGGGGGGAGGAGAGGAGCTAGAAGAAGGATGAAAGGGAGCTGTTGCAGGTGGTTTCATTTAGAATTAATCCTGCAGAGATTTGATAGTAATGGACTAGGTTGCTAAGGACAACTGGACAAGACCAGGCAAAGATTTAGAGGTGATGAGCTGAAACACCAGGAGAATCAAAAAACAGAGAAAACATGGGTACCTAACATTTTAAAGCAAAAGATCAAAATGTACATTAAACTCCCCATCTCTGCCCATATTAATCTTTTCAGTCATCAAAAACCATTTTGCAGCACTAATAAAGATTAATTTATTATCATGTGATCCAGGAATCCCTGACACTAGGAACACCACAAGAGGGTGCCACTGATCTCCAAAACGGAATCAATTAATAAATGTAATTTGTTATTTAATTAAAAGTGGCCCAAATCTTGCAGAACTATTAGATCTTTTAAAATGTGAATGTGAATGTGAATGGAGTTTTCATATGAGAAAGGTGTACTATTTGATGACATTTATTTATTTAATTTTGGGGACCACATGATGTCACCTATTGTATAATTATTTTGATATATCTGCATAATCTAAAAACACATATGTGGTAACAGATTTGTTAGCCTTTACGGCTATGAAAGTCAAGAATGTCCCAGAAGACTGCCCCAAGACTGTTGCTATTTTCTGCAGATTCGCATAGCTAGTCCTTTACAGCAAAAGTCAACCTTCTTCAACTTACTACCCTCCAGTTGTGGTGATTACAAACTCCAGAATTTCAGCCTGGATAGCTAATAGGCAGAAGCTAGTTGAGTAAGTGCTATCACATTGATATCAAGTTTTAGCAACCACCTGGATAGATTTTTCTTGACAATGATTTGTTTTCAACTTGGCTTTTTAGCTCAGGGCTGATGGAGGTTGAGAACTTGGAAGCAGGGGCATCCAAGGAGTGGGATGAAAATGATAGGTGCCACCAGATGACCCAATCATGATTGCATTCTAGTATGTGCAATGCATGTGTCATATTAAAAGAAGGTGGGGCTTTAATCACACTTGCCATTTTGAGATTGTTACTCTCCCACCACCACCACCCTGTGGATGCATTGCTGGGAAAGCTGTCCTAAACAGTAGATGGAGGTAGTTAACAGCCAATTCAGTCTTGAGTTTAAAATCCTTTTTAAAAAATCTGGTGGCAGGGTACTATGTTTTGCCATCTTCTTTGGATCAAGCATATTTTTTAATCAGTCTTGACTCCTGACAAGGAATTTTCATGGCAATATTTTTGGAATGATTTGCCATTGTGTTCTTTCTAAGGCTGAAAGAATGACTATTCAAAGACAACTAGTTGACTTTGTGCCTCAGATAGGATTGCAACTCAGGTTTCCTTGTTCCTAATACTGCATTCTTTACATTAGAACCAAATTTAGCTTGACCTTAGCTTGAAAATCTGGTAATTTTCAAGGGAAGGCTACTTATTTCAATGAGTGAGCAATTGAGAATGCAATGTTTTATACATTTGCCTTAATTGCAAACAAGGAAGCAGAACTTATGAAGAAGAGGACATGCATTCTGACATTAGAAAGAAAACTGCACAAGGATGCCCAGTGCATCTTCAACCAGGTGTTTTCTTTGCTTATTTGGAACTGAAATAGGTTAACTCAACACTTACCAAATATAAGGTGAAGAGAAACGTTTCTTCTACTTTATTTTTTATGCCTGGAGTTACTAGTGGATAGCCCAAGAGTATATTTAAGCAGTGGCTAGTCAGTTTGACAGACACCATGGTTAATCAGCCTCAAAAGCTGCATTCCACCACAATCACAGAACAAGCCAAATCATTCAGATAGTAAAGCCCACATAACATCCTTCTGGTTTCTGGAATAAGCCCAAAACCAATTTGGTCCTTTTGTGCCATAAGAAGAATAAAGACCTGAAGAAATAATTTGCCCATCCTACTGGAGAAAATGAAAACCTGTTTTTCATTTTTTTCTGATGGATAAAAGTTAATACTGATCACTAACAAAAATGAGGAGACACAACATATATTCTTCGCTAAGCCTTTTGGACAACATATACTGAACTGTAGAGCAACCAGCCATATCTAAGCCTGACATATTGTACAATTTCAGCCCACATGATTAGGGTTCAGTATATCTTGTGTGCATCTAGAAAACTGGATTCAATAAAATATGTTTACATTAATCATAGGTATGTAGACTACCATACTCTTAGTCATCTTAAAATAGAGCTACTTCAGGTCTCATTTGTCCCACATGATACAAATACAGGGGTGCCTAAAGACTGAAAGACCACTATTGCACCTGCAGCTGAGATCCTCATTTTACTATCAGAGCCCTGGATTTGTCTCTAGATCGCTACAGAACTGAATCAGTTCCATAGGATTCATGGCACTATTCCCATAAAAATCAGAAAAAATATTGACATAGAGATGCTGGGAAATCTTCAGTGCCTAGGTTGGTCAGCACTGAACTGTTTCCCCCACCCCCACCCCCACCCCAACCCCCCTTGGTTAATATTACAAGGAAATCAGCAGCCTGTATCAGGACTGCTAAGAAAATGGGGAGCTTTTTTTGCTTCTCTGTCTCTTGCAATGAACCTGTGAAGCTAGTGGGAGCAATACCAGCTGCTATTTTGCTGGCTAGCGGGGGAGTAGATTGTTGTTGCCTGCTGTTTAATAGTTGCAGCAGTAGGAACAGTAACCAGCTTTCTGCAGCAAACAAACACTATTTAGAAGGGTGACTTTCATCTAGTCATTCTCTCAGCTGATCTATCTTACAAGATTGCTGTTATGGGAGAAATTGGAGGAAGAAGTCTTATGTTTACCATCTTTCCTGGAGGAAAGCAAACAAATAATACAGGAAATGTGATATGTAAATGGATGCAAACTGAGGTAAATCCCCTAGTTCAGCAATCTCGGAAGCCTTCACCTTTCTCATCTAATCCAGCCATCCTTCCAAACGGTGATTGCAATCCAAGTACAGAGATGTCAG